TTTTCAATTGGATATATATACTTAAGTTTCAAGATTTCAATAGATTGACTTATTTCTGAAAATAGTTTAGGAGGAAAACATCTTACCGAAGAATAATGATTTTTTTTTTGCCTCAGTGACCAGAACACATTACCACCAAATTACAAATCGAATGTCATGATTATAAATTTTATTAATCAGGATAACAAGTTTGGCTGTAATATTTTCAAAGGAATTATAGTTTGTACATATTTGAATTTTTTATGCATTTTGCATATTTCAGTTACTCTAATTTTTAGGATATATCTGTTAATTTCCAAGATGAGGAGTTATTATCTACACTATTTATATTTGGATTATTGTCCTTATCTTTGTTGCTACCACAGCATTTCGGCTGTTGTGCACTCTGGCCTTCCCAGGTGTATATCAATCTGGGCAACTTACAGGGAATTCTACACCGAAACTGTTATTTAATCCATTGCCCATGTCTAGGGATTGAACTCACAGGATGGCCAAGGGGTACAATGGCTGAAATGTTGAGATAATAACAAAGAGGACAATGGTTCAAATATAAATAGTGTAAATAATATATGTTAATCTCATAAAATGAAAAATATGAATGTTATTTAAGTATTCAATACCAGAAAATTTGACCAGGAAAGTAGATTTCCATGAACAATAAACTAGATTACTTAGAGCATCATCCAATGAGGCAAATTCTGCTAGAAAAAGCAACTCATTTTCTTTTAAACATGAGAGTTGAAATTTTTAAGATGAGTAACCAAAGTGATATATTTACAATAAAACTATTTCCAAGGCTGTTCTTAAAGAACTCAACAAATTTTGTATTTATTTTCTTTTTCTTTCTTCATAAAGAATTAAGTAGACAGGAAGCAAATTTCAAAAGAGAATGAAAGTGACAGTGTTATAAAGCAGAAGGAGTTAGCTTTTGCCTCTTTTCGTATTGAGAGTTCAGGTTATATTTTTGGAAGTGGGGAGAGAAGAACAATTCAAACTGATATTTCTTGATCAATAAAATCTTATTCAGTAATTTTTGGCTCACACCAAGCAGAATTTCTAATGAAAAAAAGGAAAAAAGAAAAGAGAAAAGAGAAAAGAGAAAAGAGAAAAGAGAAAAGAGAAAAGAGAAAAGAAAAAAAGAAAAAAAGAAACTTAAAATTGTAATGACCTGTCTTCATTAGTAAGATGATGATACTAACAAAGACCATAAATCTAAAGGGAAAAAAATCCAGCCAAGACAGTTACAATTAATATTAGTGACGGTAGATTGTCAGAAGAGAGCCTAGCCATATGCAAAGATGGTATCTTAAAAAAAAAAAAAAAAAAAAAAAAAAATCAAAGACTGACCGTTAGCTGAAATAAGACAGAGTTTCTGAGAATGACAAATGAATAGGAAGGTTATTCTGAACAATGTTATCAGTTTTAAACAAAAAGTAATGTTAAAAGCAAAAGATCATGCAATCAGTTATTTTTTCCCTTTGGTCAAAGAAAAATAAATGACTAACCAGTTGTAGACAATGCAATTGATCAAAAAATATTCAAAATTAGTAGTTAATCAAAAGTGTATGGAAGTCAAAACTTCCAAAACATTTAGCTATCAAATTGAATCCTTATAGTCACAGACATTAAAAAAAAAAAAAAATAATAAATAAATAAAGTACTTATAAAATCTCATGCAAAAAAAAAAAAAAAAAAAAAAATAATATATATATATATATATATATATAATATCCATTTCTGAAAACAAAGTTATTTACTTAAGGTTGGTAGGTATTTTTAATATGAAATTTAATGAAAAGTAAAAAAATATGAATGAGTTTTAAAACCTTTTTTCAAGTGAAAATTTGCTAATTACATGATTTTTTTTCTTAACTTCTGGTAAAAAGATGATTTCCATGAACAAAGGACAGAATAAATTTCTAATTTTAAAATTTCAAGAGGAAGAATTTAAAAAAAGATCATTATTAAAGTAGCTAAGCTTTAAAAAAAAAAAAAAAAAAAAAAAAAAGCATCTCTCAAATGTCAACATTTTTATAATAATAAAAAGAAAGAATGAATGGGTGATTTGTATAATCCCAATAATTGAAAATTTAAGAATCAAATCATTGTATAAATTTTAAAAGTTTGTCACCTATCTTTCCTGTAATTTATGTTTATTTTAAATAAAAACAGAAAATATACTAAACTGGTTAGACAATATTGGTATACTCCCAATTATATAGATGCAAAGTAAAGCTGGTTATTGTGTTTAAATAAAAAAAAAAAAAATACAAAATTCATAACCTTACATATTAGTACTATAACAAAAGTATCCAGTAGAAGATATATATTTTTAATTCTTGGGCTGAAACAAACTTAAGCTTTTAATTACTGAATAATACTAGTTTAAATAAATAAATTTACAGGAAAAAAAAAAGTGTTTTTTTTATTTATTTATTTTTTTTTTTTTTAAATACCTGCAAATCAAACTTTTGAAAGTTAAAACTGATTTCTTAAAAAAAAAAAAACTATCACATTTACACGATTTCTAATGTTTTTTTTTTTTTCCTAAACTTCTTAGTTAATTAGTAATTCTAATTCCATTTTTACCATAAAAATGGTTAACTAGCTACTTTAGTTGTTGGAATCATATTTAAGAGTTTAATACATTTCACCAATACATGGTTTTTGTGAAAAGAAAAGACAATGATTTGTATGAAATTGAAATTATTTATGTAGATATTTTCAACTACAATATAAAAGAAAAAGGATTTCTTTCAGAAATAAATTATTTTTTTCTACCAATAATGTTTATATCAATGGGACATAATGCAAGCACCAATTTGGTTTATTTTCATATTTTTTTGCTTATTTCATTTCTGATTCTATAGTATTAATATTCAGAACTTCTATAACCATGACAATTTTGCTAGTGCATTTTAAGTTATCCATAAATACCTAAGAAAGTAATGCTTGCATAACACACCTAAGCATAAGAAAAGGACTTGACATGTTAATTATTATCATTGCTAATTACAGCAATTAAGATGTAGCACAGTTTCTGGATAAATCAATGTTAAACAATGAAAATATAGTGGGTTATTATATGCCTTGCACTTCAGAGCATTGTGAGTATAACAAACAAGAAGAGCATGCTAGTCTGAATAGCAAAGCATAATAATAATTCCTCATCTTAAAATTCCAACATAAAATATAGTGAGATGAAAATGTTTTCATTGGTTAGTTTTTCAAAGTTCACTAGATATTTCAGAAATTGTTCAGAGCTTACGTTCTTTCTAAAGTTCACATTTTCGTGCTAACCTTCAAATAACTGAAAATCTAAATTACCTAGCGGGGGAAAGAGGAGACGGTGGGGGAAAAGAGAGGGGAGACGGAGGGGAGGGAGGGAGGAGAGAGAGAGAGGGATGGAGAGAGAAGACGGAGGGAGGGAGGAGGGATGGAGAGAGAAGACGGAGGGAGGGAGTGAGGGATGGAGAGAGAAGACGGAGGGAGGGAGTGAGGGAGGGAGAGAAGACGGAGGGGGAGAGAGAGAGAAGAGGGAGGGGGAGGAGAGAAGACGGAGGGAGGGGGGAGAGAAGACGGAGGGGGGAGGGAGAGAGAAGACGGAGGGAGGGAGGAGAGAGAAGACGGAGGGAGGGAGAGAAAGACGGAGGGGGAGGAGAAGGGAGAGAGACGAGGGAGGAGGGAGGAGAGAGAAGACGGAGGGAGAGAAGACGGAGGGAGGAGAAGACGGAGGGAGGGAGAAGACGGAGGGAGGAGAAGACGAGGGGGAGAGAAGACGGAGGGAGGAGGGAGGGAGGGAGAGAGAAGACGGAGGGAGGGGAGAGAGAAGACGGAGGGAGGGAGAGAAGAGGAGGGAGGGAGAGAAGACGGAGGGGAGGGAGAAGACGGAGGGAGGGAGAAGACGGAGGGAGGGAGAAGACGGAGGGAGAGAGAAGACGGAGGGAGGGAGAGAGAAGACGGAGGGAGGGAGAGAGAAGACGGAGGGAGGGAGAGAGAAGACGGAGGGAGGGAGAGAGAAGAGGGAGGAGAGAGAAGAAGGGAGGGAGAGAAGACGGAGGGAGAGAGAGACGGAGGAGGGGGGAAAAATGGATGGGGGGAGAGAAGACAGAGTAGAGAGGGAGAGATAGACAGACAGAAAAGGAAAAAGGATAGATACATATATGAATTAATTATGGACCTATGTTTAGATGAGCTCTATTCTTTTGCTTCAATTCAAACCTTTACAGCTAAGACCGACATTGCTGCATCCACAGAGATGAACTGTCTTCATTACCTCTGTATTACAATTGTAAGTGAAGTTCCACTCAGACAGCAACCCCTACTGCCCTGCAAGAACCACTGCTTTGTGGAAAAGACTCCCATGTGGATTCTTCCCTGAACATTATAATTTTAACCTCTTCAATTCAAGGGTCAACCATTACTGATCTTCCATATCTTCACTTCCTTCTTTTACATTCATATCACACAGCTCATTCAGTAACACTACCTAAAGTGGCTCAACAAAAAAAAAAAAAAATCATCTGATGTGAGTGTGCATACTGTATTAATAGAATTTTGACTTATAAATAAAGCATGTTCTTCTTATCAATTGAATATCTTTTTGGTGTAAGTAACAATTCTCAATGTACGCAATTTAAAATACGTAAAGACTGAATACACTCATAAACAGACTATATTTCAACACAAAATCAAATTCTCTCAAAATATTCATAAATATGATGCTGTATCATAATACATCATAAATTATTCCAATTGCTGCCCCATTTGATGATATGGATGCAGTATTGGGTAAGAAGACATGCAAAAATGTCTTTCCATGCATTAAGTATATAAACCATACAACATGCAAAAAATGTTAAGTGTAAAGATAAATCCTGCCAGTGTATAGCAACAACAAGCAAAATAAATAACAATAGTGACAAGTGATACTGGCAGGCAAAGGCAATAATACAAAAGGGAACTGGGTGCTTGGTATGGGGTGGCCAAAAGGCAGCATTCTACTGGGGCGGATGGACAGACAGAGGGATGGCGGTACAACACAAGTTTACCTTGGATGTAAAATCATTAGGGTTAACGTAGAGGTCCCGATGTAAAGTACTGGTTTCCGGAGTCTGTAAAGTAGGATTCAACTCAAGTGACAGCTGAGGTCATTAAGTAAAATTATACAGATAATACAAGAATAAGAACTGGAGACAGACAAAAGTGAAGAAACAGAATTGAATAAACACATGGGATATATAACAGAAATAATCTACTGGAAAATATATATGGAAGATATGAAATTCTTTAGTAAAAACAGATATATTTTTTTTATTTACATTTGATCAATTCATAAAAAAAATTGAGTAAAGTAAAAAAAAATCTTCAAGTTAATTTTAATACCTCCAAAATGAAACTGCTCTCTTTTAATCATATGAAAGAAACTTTTTTGCCTTCCATCAGCACGGCTGATGCTACCCTCCAAGAGAATAACTCATGACACCTCCTCTGTCTAACATTTTGCACTAACATGAAGCAGAGTGATTATATTGAATCAATTGCTAAGTCTGCTGCTAGAAAAGTTGGTTCACTGTGTCATGCAAGGCAATTTTTCTTGGCAGAATCTATACTGCACCTTTTTAAGTCATTGGTGCATCGAATATTGCTGCCATATATGGTCTGGTGTTTTGCTATGTATTTACAGATTCTTCATAGAACCAAAAGAATCTGCAATGTTAGTGGTCCTAACCTGGTTTCTCAGTTTTAGTCACTTTCTCACCACCATAATGTAGCTTCCCTGTGTCTTTTCTATATATATTTTCACGGTAATTATTCTGATCAGCTTTCCTCTTTGCTACCTATACTGCACGAATTTAAGCGCAGTACTAGATTGGCAGCTAGGTCTCATCATTTTACTGTTGAATTCTATGCTAATAGTTTCTTTTCTCACACTTCTTGGTTTTAGATCTCTTCTGTCTTCTTGCTTCCCTGTCAACTATGATTTTCAAAAATTTAAATACAATATCAATTGTCATCTTTTATCTCTTTAAATCCTATTCTTTTTATTGTGCTTTCTACTCAATGTTTTCTCAGTTTCTTTCACTCACTGTAACCCTTTGTATCTTAATGGCTTTATCTCCTTGCTTGAGGTGAAATGATTAAAAAGTGAACATTATGAACATGTATAACTTAAGATATAAACAGGTAATTTAGGATTGGGTTAAAATGATTAATGACAAGCTGGAATTAAACTAACACTGTTTAAAGTTATTTTTTTGTTTCTACATACATGTGAAAGCACATGCAATACCCTGCCCTACGTCTAAAAATATTAAAAAAAAAAATTCTATTCATTACCAAATAATTTCCAGAGTTCAATAAAATCTGATAATTATCTGATATTTAAGGGTAGTTGCTGTCCAGACAGAGTGGGAGTAGAATGTCTTATTTCAAACTGTGTGTGTGTGTGTGTGTGCTTGTGCATACATTAAATGGCACAAGCAAGTCACTCACACACAACACGATCATACGCATAAACATTATAAATGCGCATGCATAGTCACACCTAGCAAGAGTGTGAGGGACAGAGAATCAGCTCTTCTTTTGTAATATAGATTACACATCCTTTAGTTTCTAATATTTGAACATAACAGTTTTAAAATTGGATTAAAGATCAAAATATATTTGAGCTAAAAACAAAGGCCAAAAAAAAAAAAAAAAAAATTCATTAAATGAAATCAATGGAGATTTACAGAAAAGTTTAGCTTAAATTTGACATTAATATTCTCAGATGTTAATTATTTAGACAAGAATTGCAATGTAATATAACATGCGACAGCCACTATAATCTTAAATCTTATTAAAATCTATTTTATATTATTTCTTTAGAAAACAAATATACTGGTCACAAAGCCCATGAGGAGTTAAAATGGACACAAAAATATTGGTAAAATTCTAACTTAGATTCCATTTTAAAATAAATGTAAGGTTTTACAAATTGAAGCATTCATGAAACAAGACTGAAGTTTTACAAAACTTGAAACCACCACTTTCTGATATTTAATTATACTCACATGTGAGCAAAAATAATCTATAAAATATATATTTTTACAGTACATCACTATCAAATAATCATGAATAACAATTTATGTGATAAAAACAACAGTAATTTTATCCACCATCAACATAAAGTTAATAATCTATATAATTATTTAATTAAATTGCAATTAAATGAATAAAAACTGTTTAGAGGCATTACATATTCACACTGTGATAAAAACAATGTAATAAGAAAATTTATTACTTACTATCCCCATCCTCATGATTAATTGGTCAGTGACAGGATATTTTAGTTTCATTCTTTTATACAAGGGTGTTTTTTCATGGTATTTGATAAGTTCTGGTAAACTCTCAAACTGTGCTGTACCAATGGTGAACAGACGGCCTTCCTGCTTTATACGACAATGTTTGATTCTCCCCTCATACCTGAATCAAAAATAGAACTGGTTGGGTTAAGTAAAAATAATTCTGAAAATAAGGAATGTTTATTTTTTCCTCTTGATTCGTCACATTTTATGTATACTTTGCTTAATATAGTAAAGTATAGGGAATGATCTTGTTTGTCAATTCATGTAAAATCATATCTCATGTGCAATGCTGCAAGAATATGGCTTAATGAAATTAAAGTGAAATATTTAGTCTGAGCAAAAACTGAAACAAGTAGAAAGGTATGTAAAAGTGTTATATTCCGTGCTAATAGGAATATATACTTAACAACACAGTGGATAAAATAAGTAAAGGTTTATTGTAAAAACCAGTACAATAAGAATAAAGGTAACAATTATGCACAAGGTCGTCACAAGTCAATGCAGTAGTGAGTGCTACTATTGGAAGGTCAGTAGTTTTTGCGTAAGTCTGAGTTGTACTCAACAGATCCCAGCTAGTCTCTGTAGTCCATTGACTTACAGATAGTCATAGGTAGTTACTACCTATAGTGTAGTCACTCATGAGGGTGACAGGTTATTCCATTACATCAAAAAAAGAAAACTTTTATTTTGACAGGTTTCATTAATGAATTATCATTAGAAAAATTAATCGGCAAAACATGTCAAAATAGAAATTTTTCTAACTTGTCTTATATGTTTACTATTCCATTGGATTTTCATCCAAACTTTACTCTCACACGCACATGAAAAGGTGTCCTTGCTAGCATTTCCAGTGGGTAACCCCAACGCCACAGTATGCTGCAGTCTGCACCAATTCTCAGCCCGTACATTTTATCTTGGACAACCTACAGCTACTATTATTCTCGGTCTTTTCCTAATCTAAATATCACACCATTATAACAAGCAACCAATGAAATAAAACTAAAACAGCACAACAAAAACTACTAAATTCCTCAACCTTTCTTTCTCCAACATTCGCAGTATTTGTACCACTTTCTGCAGAGTAATTCTTTAACCACCTCCTCTGAATTCTCAATTCCTGGCTATCTTCCTCTCTTTAGGAAGAACTCTAGTGTCCACATGCATGGCCTGGGTATGTATGTTCAGGGACATCCTTCACTGGATAGGGAACTTTCTCTTGAATCTCCAGATAATTCTTACATGTACCTCCGTATTTCTACTAAACTCAGTCAGCTATCTCTTCTTTCGCTATTGTTGCCCTTCCTCCCATGACTCTTGCATGCTAGATAATGCAGATAAGGTCCTCTCTTTACACCCATTTGGAAATATATTTGCATTCAGTGACTTCAATGGCCACCATGCCAGGTGGCTTAATCACTGCCACTGACCTCTCTGGCATCAAAACCTTGAACTCAATCTCTCACATAAGTGGTAGACTTCCCCAGGTGCTTCACCAGTAATAATGACAGACATGCTTCTCTTCTTGACCTCTACCCCTGAATCATGTACTCTGCAGTTCTACCCCCCTTGGCAACCCCGATCATGCAGTTATGTCTGTAGATATCTCTTTCCACTCTCCAAGCAGTCACAAACCTCCTACCAACAGAACATCTTTGTTATCAACGTGCTGATTGGAACTTCTAATGTGGTTTCCTTCAAAATGTCTCTTTGAATGAAGTTTTTAGTCATCCTGTTCAAAAGTGTGCCACAGAGGTCTCCTCCTGGATGAAATCCAGAATCAAAGCTTTAATTCCAGCATGGAAATATCAAGTGAAACAATGATTATCTCCTTGGTTCTCACCTGCATGTTCAGCCACTATAGCTCACAAGAATCACTTCTGGCCGTACCAGAACAGGCCTGATTGCAGACGTCTCTTTGTTATTGCTTCTAATGAGTGCAAGCATGACCTCAAAGAAACAAAGTTACTCTTAGTTGATAGATTGAAACAATGTATAGCCTCTTAGAAGTTCAGTTCTAGAGATTATTGGCAGCTCTGCAATAGTGTCTTGAAAAGCAGTAAATCCTTGGTCCTTCATTTCTTCTAACTCCACTCTGGACTCATCTGGAGTACCCCTGTCTGATTCCTCCCCTAGAACAGAGGCTCTACTGAGTATATATATATATATATATATATATATATATATATATATATATATATATACACACACACACACACACATACATACATACAAAAAATGATGATGGCTGTGACTATTTCAAGCAATGTCATTGCTGTATGTATCCTCAAATATGGACAGTGCAGATATGGCTTTTTAGTGCAAATATATTATAATATTATTATTAATACAATAATACGAAAATTTGCTACTCAGAGTTTCAAGCAATAGCACAATCATCAGATAGATAAAATATCAAATATTTTTTATACACCTGATGATTGTAATGTCACTGAAAACCAAGTAGTGGATTTTGATTACCGTTTTATTATTATTGTATTAGTAATATATTTAAGCTCTGTCAACTTTGACATTGAGCCCTCAGTTTATTTTATATTTTAATCCTTAGCTTATATTTTTACTATATGATGGCCATGTGGTTAGAATGTTCACTTTCTGACCAAGAGATCTAAGTTCGAATCTCACCAACGTCAATTCATCAGGAAAGTAGCTATTATTTTATCAGCTTTGGGAGATGATCACAGTTTGCTGCACCTTTGGAAAGTGCCTGAAAACCATATCAAGGGTTGACACAAGGTTTGTGAGCCAAATTGGGTAGATAAAATTGTTTGCCAATGGTTGTGTTATCATGAAGTCACAAGTTATAGCTATCGAAAGTCTGAGTATACTGGCTTTGTTCAAAGTGTTGAATGATACATTTTCTCTCAGATACTGTAACTAACATCTACTCAGCATAGTTGCAGTATAAACCACAGGTGGGCTCTGTGGGTGTTGAACAAATACAAATGTGCCTGAGCAGGCGTCTGCAGTAGAGATTGTCTAGTACCATAGCAGACAGGCATACTTGGAAATGAGCAGCCAGTCAACTATTATGTGTGTGTATATATCTCAGGGACACACACGTGTGGATGTACACATTTATTCATACTCTCAAGCAAGCTCCTGCATAAGAGGCAGATTAAATTAGAATGTAGACAAATAAGTTTTTATGCGAATTTTAAATGAACCAAACATTTATTATAGTTTGAGATATTTTCATACTTACCTAAAGGATATCACAAAAGAGTACTGATCAGTTTCACTTCGTCTAACCAAGAAAGCACCATCGCATGGAATTCTTTTCAATTTATCCTCAGCAGTTGCACGGTCAATTTCTCCATAATACCACCTGGACCAAAGCAAAACCCAATATCAATTAAATTAAGTGTTCACTAGATTGTCTACCTTAAGTTTCACAAAATTACATCTACTCTTCTGAAGACTCGATTGTAAAATTTTATCTTCCAGAAATGCCATGGTTATCTATTTTGCAACAATATATATTCCTAACATTAAAACATTATTATATGATAAAGACAAGTATTCATATATCTAGTAGATATTATTTATGCAATTGAATTGCTTTAAAAATGTGTGTATAATAATAAAAAATAAATAGTTTCATAACCAAGTGGTCAAAATGTTAGTCTTCTGAACATGTTTAAATCTCACCATGATCAAAAAGGTGATATTATGATATCAGCCTGGGGAGATAACCCTAGCATGTGGTATCATTAGGAAGTGCCTGAAAACCATACTATGGGTTGAGCCAAGCGTTTTGTGTGAATTTGGGGAGTCAAATTCAGAAATTTGAAATGATTGTGCTAGAACAAAGTCACAAGTCATCGTGACTAAGGGTTGAGCACATTAGCTTTGTTATGGTGGTCATGCCAGATTATGCACTCTCTTCCAGAAACTGCAATTTGTGTCTGCTCAACATAGTTGCAATTTAAACCACAGGTTGGCCCTGTGAGTTTTCAACAAACTAAAATGTGGCTGATCAGGCATCTGTAACAGGGATTAGATAGCTACCCAAGCAGACAGGCATACTCAAAAATGAGTGGCAAAAAAAACAAAAAGAAATAAAGCTTTGAACAGACTTATTGCATCTATAAAACTAAAGTGAAGTTGTTAGAAAATTTGAAATAATTGCTTACTCTTTGCCTTCATGACACTGAGGTTGAGGTACAGGTTCTTTTAAAGTCAGCTCAAAGTCGGAACTACGAAGTGGGCTTGTTCGATAGTAAGTAATAAGAGAGTAGAGACTGTCAAACAGCAGGGTGTCAACTAGATAATATTTCTGCTGACCATGTTCTTGCTTGGATTTGATGCGGCAGTGATTCACACGATTTTGTCGCCTGTTTTAACAAAATACAAAAGCAACGAAGAGCAAATGAGTGACAAAAACAAGATGTATTTAGAAAAGGGCATGAAAAAAAAGTAATCCAGAGAAACATACAATGTTTTATCTACAAATTTTATTTACATTTCAGTATTGGCATTATTTTCAATTCAGTGGAGATAACTAGAAAATAAAAAAAACAATTAAGGTAGGCATACTAGTAATAAAAACTATAATATATATAAATCTAATGAATTAGTTTTCTAAATTAAAAAATGTCTAAATTTAATACATTCATTTTTTTTGATCAGAGTACAAGATATTCATGTTTTTCTATGGCAAAATGATCAATTACAAGTATCAGTTCATCCTATGTATCTTAATTTAGAGTAAGAAAAAATAGAAAAGAAAATGCATTTAATCAAATTGTATTCATTAAAATTGGTTTCATCATTATCAATAACTTCATTCTAATGGTTCACACACTTCATAATACCACTTTTGTAAAGGACTTAATTTAAAAGAAGAGAATTCTAAGAGGATAGTTTTCCTTTCATCATATGTTTTTAAGAACTAAATGGTTCTGTAAACTTCGGAATAGATAGTAATCAGATGACACAAGATCTGGAAAATAAGGACTCTGGGGAATTGTTTCCCTCCAGTAAGCTCTTCAATCTTTTCAGATGTGATCTTTGGTGTATGGGGCTGTGCATTATCAGTATGGAAATGCACATCTTTGCAGTTAATCAAACTGGGTCTTGATTTCTAATCTTTAAAGTAGTGTTTAAAATACTTGATGGTAATGTATGCTGTAACTGTAACACCGAGTATAAGCAAATGAAAGTCATCTATACCAACACAATCCTACTTAACAAATCTTAGAATTTCATTTTGGACTGTCTTGCAGCTACTGTTTGCATGGTTTTATATTCTTATAAAGTATTAATTCTTTGGTCATCAATCACTAATCTATCCCAAAAAATGGCCAGATGCATTTACAAGAGTTCAGAGAATTCATGCCTTAAAGTTGGCTTGTTAAATCATGGAGATTCCCATTTTCCAAGTTGCTGCTGATAGCTGTGAGACACTGAATGGTTTGAATTCAGTTTTTGAGGAAATTCTTCAACAGCACTATTTCAGACAAAATTAGGTTTTGGTTTGGTTTGTTTTGGTTTTTATGGCATATCAACCTTAATGGGTCATTTAATGCCGACAAAATTTTTATTGTTGGTAATATTTTTTTTTTTTTTAAATATATTTCTGGTAATATCTTTCTTTTAAATATGTATCGCTGGTAATATTTTTTCTTTTTTTTTCAAAAAAAATGTATAGCTAGTAATATATATATTTTTTTTCTTTTTCCAAAAATATATTGCTGGTAATATTTGTTTTTCAAAAATGCATAGCTGGTAACATTTGGTTTTCAAAAATGTATTGCTGGTAATAATTTTTTACAAAGGATTTCTGGTATTAAAACCTATTTTTACACTTTCATAGTGTTTTGACCCCAGTTACAATTCCATTGAATAAGGTTTTTGCATTTTGATTATGTATTACAAATTATGAATTTTTACATGTCCAATTTTTTTTTTTTATATGGGTGACGTGTCCATCATTTCTATATTCTTCAGACTATTAGCATTTTGTTTCTTGTTATGTTTTGTTCTTTGAACTTCTTTTGATTTTACTTTCTTGTTTGAGTTCCTCTATGTCCATTTTCCTTGGTTCTTCAATAAACGTTTCGTTATTTTTTTTTTTGTATCTTTTCATTCTCTTGATAATGTTTTGATGTTTCTATTTCTTGGATTTTTTTTCGTTTGGATTTTTCAAGTTTAATAGTTTTGTAGACGAGTCATCTTTGCAGTTGATGGTATAGGGGCTTGTTTTTTCATTAGGTTCTTTGAATGATCTTTGTATAGATGATGACCGTTCCCTTGTTTGTAATGGGCTAAAGTTTTGTTCCTCTATGTCCATTTCTCTTGATTCTTCACTAAAAGTTGAGTTATTTATTTTTTATGTACCTTTTGATTCTTTTGAGAATATTTAGAGGTTTCTATTTCTTGGATTTTTGCACTTCGGTTTGGAATTTTCGGATTTAATTGTTTTGTACATGTTGAGACTTTTTTGTTTGAGGTTGACGGGACAGGATTTTTTTTGTCTATGGGTATCTGATTTATGAGTGATATACTACATTTTAGTAGTTCTTCTAAACTTTTTAATTCATTAATAAGAGATAAGGTCTTGGCTTCTTAATGCATTGTTTTCTTGGATGACTTTTTGTTGATTTGATATTTTAGTGATATTTGCATATGATGCTTGAAGTGAATTAGATTCAACCTGTTTCCTGGCTTCTTGGAAGGAGATATTTTGTGTGTATTTTCTTCTAATTATTTCCTTTTCCTAAATGTTACACTCTTTGGAGTCTTCTGGATGTTTTTCTTTACAGTTTGGACATAAAGGAGGCCTTTCACAAGGTGATTCATCATGCTCAGTTTCCGGTTTCCCACATCTTCGACAGACTAATGTTCTCGTATAAACATTTTGAAGATGACCAAATTTTTGACATTTATGACATCTACAGAGATTAGGAATGTATGGCTCTACCTTGGCTATTGTGTAACCTATCTTTATTTCTTTTCGTAGAGTCAGTTTTTCAAATGTCAAAATGTATGTGTTGGTGTTTATTACTGTGTCATTTCTTTTTACTTGCATTCTTTGAACATCTGTTACTCCTTGCTTTTTTAGAGTGTCATCATTTTCAATTTCTTCTGATGAACAAAGTGACAGTTCTGGGCATTTTATTACTCCTTTTGATGAATTAAGAAATTGATGGGGGTAGGCCTTGACTTTATTGTCGTCAATTTGCTTGACTTTTAGCAATTTCTCTGCGTCTTTTTTGGATATCACTTGAATTAATAGAGTATTATTTTTCTTTATTTTTTTTAACAGATTGTGGTTTGATCATGTCTGAAATAACACTTTTGATATATAACCCTCTACTGATTCTACGACAATGAAAGATGGAAATTGATTTTTTTCTATTTCATTTTTACTTTCAGAAGTCTCACATTGTCTCTTGGTTCGCTTATAAGAGACAGCCATATAATTTTAATTTTTGTATTTGCTGTCTGTGCTCCCCACCCACCTCAGAGTTCCTTCTTAAGGGATGCTATCAGAGGGAACTAATCCCATTCGCCCTAATCTGCCAAGGCTACACAGACAGTAGAGTTGTGATGAGAGTGGATACAAGCACCTGCACCCTCCCCACCATATCTACCCAAGTATAGTATGATGTAAGGTTTCATGGCCCTGTCAAACCCATTATCTATCATCCCAACTAGCCCTTGCCACTATGTGACTAGCCGATTCGAATGGATTGGGCTATTCCGAAGTGACGTGTTGTGGAAAATCCAGGTCTTTTTATACCAGATCAGGAGTCACTCAGTCACTAGGACTGACCCCAGACATCATGGGTCGCCACCCATAGCAAATGAGGAGGCACCGTGGAGTAATGGATAGCGGCTTGGATTGAGGAATCGAAGAGCCGAGTTCGAATTCCAGTTGAATCCATTACATTCACTACTTACATGCTAATACCCTTGGGAAAGGTGTAAATCCTCTTCTCCCTCCAGCTATGGGTAAATAGCAGGACAGACTGGGTTCTATAGCCTTGAATGGCAACTGGTCTAGGAGAAGGAAAACTCTGAATTCAAAACCTGCGGAGGGTCGTTTGGGGACCTTGTGGCACATAGTGCACCAGGTCTCTGTAATCAGCCCTTCAAAAAGTGTGGATGGTCCTGCACGAAACCTTCACCACTATAATCAAATCTCATGTGCTATACATGCGGGTTTGGGGACTGCTTGTGAATTCCAAATTCCCATAAAACTCCAAGAGAACAAGAAGAACCCACGGCAAATGGGTGGCCCCATTTAGGGGAAATTTTAGTTTTTTGAAATCGGGTTTTGTGAATGTGCACTTTATATACTGCAATTTGTGTTGATGGTATTATTACAAAAAAAAAAAAAAAACAAAACATTCTTACATTTTCCTAGTATTCAAACTCCAGTTCAAAGGAGGGGGGGGGAGGTGAAATTATTTACCCATAGCTGGGATCCTAACGGGTGCTACCACCCCGGGTCAGGGTAAATCCGGGAATAACAGCAATTAAGAGGTGCTTCCACGCTCCTCAAAACCTCCTGATTAGATGCCTTGCTGTTGGATGCAGTTTATCATCATACCCAGGACACATAAAATTAGGTTTACCATCAAATTTAACAGGATTACCATTTAGTGGAACATCTCCTAATCTAAAGGCACTGTTTGTAAAACTTCCAACCCACCTTCAGTAATTTTTTTTTTTTATTCTATAAACATTACAAAACATTCAATAATTTATTCTACAAAAACTATGTACATTTCGAGTTGCTTTTGCAGCTTAATTGCCTTTTCAAAATTCATAGAGCATTATATGTCTTATGAGTTCTATAGACAGGTGCATCTTCAGTAGGATCATAACTTATTCATTTAAAACTATCTTGTATTTTTATAATTTTAGAATAGTGAATAAAGTCATCCAATCTATTATATCACATTTCTAATCTTACTTATGGAATGACATGATATTAAGATGATAGTATCTTTGGTACAAAGAGAGTCATGGATATTATTTTGCTAATAAGAGAAGGTAAACTACAAAGATATTTAACAATTTAAAAATGAAATTGAATATGAGAATAAAATTATAAATAGAACAATAATTATGTTAATACAACAAAAAGGATTGCTACGCATATACAGGGTGCAGTGGGTAAAGGTTGCCATTTTATATTTTTAATTTCATGTATGCGCATTGTTTTTGATTTTGTCAACTGCACAGTATAGTAGGATCAGTTGGGCATTGTCTGTAAGAAAAAGGGCACCATAACACAATTTATTCTGCTAGAAATTTGAAAACAGCATGCTGTACTGCTTGGCATTCATGCCAGAAGCTCTAATACAAACATTTCAAAGTGTTTGTGTGTCAATCAGAGGACAATGCAGAGGATTCAGAATGAGTTGGATGAGTCTAATGGTGATTATGAAGGTATGGCAGCTCTGAAAACTCACTCTGATAAGAAAAGAACTCTCAAATTTGTTGGTGAAATCCAGGCCATCATTGACAAGATCTCTCCAAGTCAATCAGGTCCATAGCCAGAGATACAGGAGTGTCTGAGTTTCTTATCAGGCAAGTAGTGCATGAGGACATTCGCTATTTTTCATACAAGATTTTTACCCCAAGCTATGAAGAAAAAAACAAAAAAACTCAAGCATCCCCTCCAAATGAACATGCTTTGGTTTTTCTCAGATGAGAAAAATTTCTGCAAGGATAAAATAGTGAGAGTGATGAAAACCAAATATCCAGTCAACATCATGGTGTTTGGTGTGATAACTACTGATGGTGATGTTATGCCTCTATTCATCTTCCCACAGGGCCTCAGACACAACAGAGAGGTCTACTTCAAGTGCCTTGAGGAAGTAGTGCTGCCCTGGGTCAAGAGGGTGGCTGCTGGAAACTGTCTAGCAACAGAACTCTGAACCATGACACACAAGCAGGAGAATCCAGTCATGGCTGTCAGAATTTCTACGACCACATCACCCCTTATATCTGGCCACTTAACTCCTCAGAATACAACCTCTTTGATTATTATGGGTAGGGCGCAGTTGAGCGAGATACCAACAGAAATCCTTGTAACACCAGGCAAGGATTATGACAGCATTCACCAATGTAAAAAAGAAAACCATCCAGATGCAGGAGATTCCCAAGTTGTCTGAAGGCCATGGTTGAAGCCAATGGTGATTTTATTGAATAAATTGACCAGTATTTCAAGATATTTTTGTGTAATTTTGGTAAATATATCTATTAAAATGAGATGTCAATGTTATTTTCATTTTTATGTAATTTTAGACGACAATTTAACAGTCAAGCTATTTAGTCTCATTACAAATTTGGGTATAAGTGATTTTATGAAACATTGAGATACAATTACTTTGTTGTCACTTGTTTTTGACGAGATATACAATAACATTTTATGACGGATAAAGAAAATTCAATAAAGAACAAAAATAATTGTTTTTCCATATTAATCACTGCAAACTTCAAACATCTTTTGTAATTCAGCTAAGATCCAAAATACATCTTTTACAAATTTATATAAATATTCAAAAAATTAGGAAGGCATTTTTTTTTAATGAAGATAAGAGTGAATGCAAAAACACACCCTAAAGATAAACATCTTTGAATTATTCATATTTAGAGTGCTGTAGCCAAACCCAACCAGAATGCAGCAGACAGGATTTTAGTATAAATTAGTGTAGGAGTGAACAGAGAATATAATAAACAAGAAATTGATGAAATAAGTTAAAAATGCAAAACGTGACAAAAAGTCAAAACTTCCATTTTCTCTCAATATGCAGCTTTCAACTGCTTGTATGTTTTAGATAACTTTTACAACCTAAATATAACTTCTCTTCTTTGAAATAGTAAATTTATTGACTATAAATTATAATATTTATCATTCTAACTTCTATTTCATTTAGATAAATATAATAAATTATTTATAATAAATTTTAAAAAATGTGGGTCCTTACAAGAAAGACAATGAAAAGTCTCCAATGAATGTTTCACTCTCTCGCACAAGGAATGTGCCATCTCCCAGGTTACTGTCTTCTTGAAGCAGTCTCTCTGCACGGTGACGGCCACCTTCTAGTTTTCCATGGAACCATTTCTCACCAAAGTGTAGCTCATCACTCTGGAATCCAAAAAGAAAAAAAACACTCAACAACCAAATTAAAACAAGATTCACACTACAAACATATTGAAAAATAAGAGACCAATGATTAAAGAAAGAATTATCATTTTATTTCATATTCTTAAATGACAATGCATAAACCACAAACAAAAGTATATGAAAATAAAGATGTTTCAATGTTAACAAAATTAATGTCTCCACCTAAACTTTGAATTTTATTTATTATTTATTTTTTCCTTAATAGGAATAGATAGGTTTTCACACTACTCCCAGGTCATTTAGACAGTAATAGAGGTTTATCCCTGATTTCCTATTTAGAATTCAGTTTCCTGTTCCTTCTAAAATCTTCTCAGTCTCTTTCATTCACAGTAATCCCTTGCATCTTAGTGGCATTATTGTCTTACTTGGTGTGAATTGATTTAAAAAGAAAAGAAAAAAGAAAAAAAAAGAAAAGAAAAAAGAAAAAAAAGAAAAAAGAAAAAAAAGAAAAAAGAAAAAAAAGAAAAAAGAAAAAAAAAAAAAAAAAAAAAAAAAAAAAGAAAAAAAGAAAAAAAAAAAGAAAAGAAAAAAAAAAAGAAAAAAAGGAAAAGAAAAAAAAAAAAAAAAAAAAGAAAAGAAAAAAAGAAAAAAAAAAAAAAAAAAAAAAGAAAAAAAAGAAAAAAAAAAAAGAAAAAGAAAAAAGAAAAAAAAAAGAAAAGAAAAAAAGAAAAAAAAAAAAGAAAAAAAAAAAAAAAAAAAAAAAAAGAAAAAAAAAAAAAAAAAAAAAAAAAAAAAAAAAAAAAAAAAAAAGAAAAAAAGAAAAAAAAAAAAAAAAAAAAGAAAAAAAAAAGAAAAAAAAAAAAAAAAAAAAAAAAAAAAAAGAAAAAAAAAAAAAAAAAAAAAAAAAAGAAAAGAAAAAAGAAAAGAAAAAAAAGAAAAGAAAAAAAGAAAAGAAAAAAAGAAAAGAAAAAAAGAAAAGAAAAGAAAAAAGAAAAGAAAAGAAAAAAGAAAAGAAAAAAAAGTGAAGTATATGTATTTTATTTTGTTCTTACTAAAAACTTCAAGAAAAGGCAGATTTTTTTCACAAGAAATTCATACTGTTAAAAATCTTTTGAGAGGAGTTAGAAAATTTTGAAGTTAATTTTCATTGTTTAATCTGATTTTGATTAATTTGGTGCTTTAAGACCATAAGATGTTCCCAAAAAAATAATTGAACCTGTTTTGGGTCACATTCAAGCTTTTTACAAGGGTTTATTACAATTTTGGTAATACATTAGTTCGAAAGTTAACATTCTAAGCTTCATTTTCATATATTTTCTATTTTTTAATTTTAATAAGAAGTTTGTAAACAATTCAAATGAAAAGGTTGAGCGTAAAATTCAAATGCTTCTTGTAAAAGTAAAAACACGGAAAATATATCAATAAAATGCTCATTTAATAATCTATGAAACTAAATCAAAATCAAATATGAACCAATAGCTCCATTTTGCGTGTGTGCGATTATGTGTAATGATGTGCTACTTGCTCAGCCATCATTTTAACTCCATGCGAGACTCAATACACAGCGTCAACACGGACACAAAAGAATCGAACGGCATGTTTTCTATGGACAAAATTTTCAAGGAAATTGATAAGAATTTGTTTTAAATATTAATTTTCTATGATATGTAAAATGTAAATGGGATTTAAAAACCATTTTCATCATAAAAAATATGATACGAAAATCAATTGTTTACTTTACGCTCAGGATTTATTGATTGAAAAATGTTCATATTCAAAGAATGAGATAAAAAAAAATTCTAGAATGTCTTGTGTTTTTGCAGTATTCTCACAATAATTATCAGCATTTCAGTTACCAAGTAACATTTTGTTTAAAGTTACCCCTTCAAGCTATTTTCTTACTTTTTAAATTATCTAATGAATGGATTTTAGTTATGATTTATTGCTATCTAGATACAAATTTATAATTTAATATTCATTTTCCTAATTTATTATTATTTCTTAGTAATATTTATTTCATACGGATTATGATTGTTTATTTTATTCTAAAATATTTTAATGTGTCAGTTTTAAGGACCACTGTGGAAATAGGTTTGTTGATAAAATATTTTAGTGCTTCCTTATTTGTTACTCAGGTGTATGGATGACTCTAAATTTATATTTATCCCTGATTGTATTTAGTGCAATTTTTATGAATTGCAAATAAACTCAAATTCAGTAAGAAAACATAGACAATAATTTGTAGATGACTACTAAGTGTTAAACTTCTCTCTCTCTACAGTCCAGAAATTGTACATGTTAAGTCAGGACTGTACTTGTTCAGCATCTGCTCCATATACATTCTAATCTGTTGATTTTAGGTCATTTTAACCATGATAAATGAAAAGAGCACCCCCAGAAATGGCTAGATATGAAATTTGGTGTTTCTAGTGTAAGAAGTATTCATGATATGACACAAATCAACCAAGTCTAAAATCAGCCTTTCAAATACCTTGTGACAAAAGGTTAAAAAGCAATTTTTTTCAATTTTGAAGTGGAATAATCCCGAATATATCCATTCTATCACTCCCCCAAAAATTAGGCATGTTACTGGTATAATCATAATGTGATATTTGAAATTTGGGATGAATGTGGGTCTTATTTCTAGTTTTATGAAATGTCAAACCTCAGGTTATGAGTTGTTTGCACGTTGTTGCAGAAGTTTTGATTTATAACATTTGCATATTCAGACTGAATTTATTTAAGAAATATGCAGTGATACTATCTGTAATTTTATTATTAATTTCTTTATTATGTACCTAACAAGCTAGTATTATTTTAACTGTTGTTCTTAATTGCTTTTAAAAATATAGGAGTCCAAATATGGTATTTTGTCCTAATTCATAATAGACAAAAAATGGCTGTCGAGCACATGTGTAAAAATAAAAATAAATCTGCCAAAATTAAATAGTTTGAGATATTTTGATGAAAAAAAAATTGCTAAGTTTCTTTAATCATGTAGATTAAGAAGATGCAATCAGATAACACCTAGTACCTGTTTGAAATTTTCATCTGTGATACCTAGTATAACTACATTTTGGCAAGAACAAAATTCTATGACAGTTATGATTTCAAAATAATACCCAAGATAATAAATTGGGATTAAGTCATCTAATTATATACCTGATGACAGACTTGCCCACACATATACAAAGCAGTAGAGAGAGAGAGAGAAAAAAAAAACAAAAACAAACTATTGGCCAGATTAGGTTTGAAATTTGGCAAACATGTTCTTTTTAATATCAGGCATATTGAGAATATGCAAAAAAAAAAAAAAAGTTATTTTTAAGTTTATCTATCAAATAGCTTCTTTTTTTTCTTTTTACAAGTATGACAACATGTCAAAAGGTGGATGAACCTTCTATTAAGACCAATGATCATCTGGGTTACATAGCTATTTATGCAGCTAGTGTGGTAATGATATGATATCACCAGGCAGAAGGCTTCCTAGACTGAAGCCAACAGCCAGGGTGGAGAAATCTCCTGATGGAATCAACAGCAACATGCCTATAAGCCATTAAGTTGGATGACATCAGCTATGGTTTAACCTGGAAAAGGATGAGCCCTTTCAACCCCTATACAAGGAGTGAACTGGTCAGGTTCTCAATTATACAGTAGTTCTATATGATCACCCCAGATATTTGCTTTTATTTTCTATGATTATTTGTAATCAACTACAGTTTGAGAAGCAATATCCATACACTACATTAGATGGGGACAGATGTAAATATGTTAAATTATTTAAGAAATCAAATAGCGGCATGTACACTAGGTATTAGACTATTTTAAATATACGATTCATATAAGGAATTTTAAAGTATTTAAAAAGTTATACTATGTGAACATTATAGCAGATGTCATATCTTGATGATTAAGACATTAATGTTGCCACCAGTGTGTTACTACCTGTAATAGAGAATCAGGTCAACCCGATAAGAGTTGGGTGTGTGTGGTGGAGTAAGCACGAGGAATTATGTCCTCTTCCACAATTGGATGTTAAGAGAGGATATTCTACTTACAGTAGATTGTGCTGACAATTTGCATATGAATGATACTGGGCAGATATTAGCCAATAGTCAGCATGGGGCTGGGTCTGGGAGAGCTATAGAAAGCCAGTTTTTTTCCCAGTCGAGGGGAGCACTCTCAACGTGCAGACATGTGGAAAACCAAAACAAAATGAACACACTACCAGAATCCAGTCATCTTGACTGGTTCTTGTCATTGGATCAAAGTCATCTCATGCTAAGAATCCACAGTATTGTGCAAGTTCTGCATGACTAAACAATCATACAGGTAGCACTGGGTTTCAGGAAGTGGAAGGTGACCAACATCATCTATTACAGCCTGTTTGGTGGTGGTCTTCATACAGCAAGTCGGCAGTCATTATATACTGGGTATAAGAGCAAAATTGTCCAATTGTTAGATTAAGTTTGAACCATTGTATCTTAGAAATGATTAAAGATATATACTGGAAGTCTCCAAGGTTTTTATAACACTACTGGACTCTACTTTGAACAATAAGAATGTATTTAGCTCTAAGCTGAAATGATGATCCTTCTTGCTGTTGTGACCGCCTGATCCAGTTTTCCTCTCTACTATTCTCTCCTTTTTAAAACTTATTCATCATTCTCTTGATGGTTCTTTAATGGACTTTGAAGATGGAAGCCAGGGTATGAACGTTGATACCATTATTGAAGGCCTGAATGATCTTTTTCCTCTCACCATTGCTCAATTGGGAAGACATAATGGGTCTGACACAAAATGATTTTAACCTGTTCTCTTTCTAGCTGAATAACTCAAAGGGTCTTTCAGTGATTCCTATGACAAATGGTGTCAAGATGGTTAAATGTCTTATTTGAAAACCGGGAAAAAAAGAAACTCAGTTTGTTTAGTGTTTTTTTTTTTAGATATTAAACATTTTATAGGATGAACAATTATCCCATGCTGTAAGACGATTTGGACAATTTTGCTGTTACATGCAGTATGAGACTGACATCTCCAAAATCTTACTCAAGAATAGCCACAAAGATGCTAACCACAAATTTTAAAATTTATCAAAAATAAGAGAACTATCTGATTTCAATGAAATTTTCAATACTAATTCATTAAAGAATTGACTTTATGAACACACTACCAGACTATGCAAATCCAGTCTCCAATTATCTTGACTGGTTCTTGTTATTGGATCAAAGTCATCTCATGCTAAGAATCCACAGTATTGTGCAAGTTCTGCATATATCAATAATTTGTTCAATACAAATTATTTTAATATGAACTTTGTGTACATGTTTCTTCAGGTCAGTTGAACCTTTACTTAAAGTAATACCTTGAGAAAAAAAATATAAAAAATTTATTAAATTATTATTAAAAATTTGAAAAAAAAAAAACTTAAAGTAATTCATTTCCTTCATACTTTTTTACAGCCTTTTACCATTGGGTCAAAATAGATATAATCTTTTTGAATTATTTAAAAAATGTTGTGTCATTACTTCCTGCAATGTTAAAGAGGAAAATAAATTCAAATTTTATTTTAAGAAAATAACTTCATTTCAAAAACATGTTTTTTATTTTCAAAATAAATATTTACTTTCATAGTATACATTGCATTTTAGTTTTTATTTATTCTTTTTATTTTCATTTTTTAAATTGTTCTCATTTCCTAGTAATAATAGAAGTCAACACCAAGCAGCAACAGTGTTTCATGCTTGAACACAATCGTTATGGCTGATCAAGCAAGGCCAAATACTAACTTTAAGCACAATCTTTCTCATCCTAGATTCTCAAAAGTTCACATCTGCTCATTTTCATATGTTAAACAAAGTAATTCCTAGAAAAGTAATGGATTTATTTATTTATTAAACTGACAGATTTCTATCACTTTAAACATTTAAAAAATCTGACATTAGTGGCAATGGTGTCTTCATCTAGCTAATGTCTTACCATTATGTGGGAGGTATTTCTGCCGCACAACCTGTATTTCTGTATTTTTAAAAAAAAAAAAAAAAAAAAAAAGTTTTGTGGAAAGACTCCTTGTAGGATATTTTCCACAATCATTACATTATTCACCTCTTCAAGTCTAGGGTTAACTGTTATCTTTCTGACATAGCCTCATGAACTTCACTCCTAACCTTTTCTTACACTCATACAACACTGTACAGTAACCTTCTACCTTGAGTGGCACTTGGACCTTGTATTGGGTAAACATTTGTATAAAAAAAAAAGAAAAAATATAAAAAATGTGGATTTTGTATGATGGGATAGTGAAAAGTTCTTGGTGTAACCAGCTTCCTAAAATCAGTTTGACAATGACCAAACATTAGAATACTGATTTTGGAAAATGAGATTAGTCAAGAATTTTTCAACTCCCTCAAGTCAACAAATCTAGTATAATGAACAAAAATGTCAGGTTTTTAATTTCTGACCTACAGAAATGTAATTTTGCCCATATTTTATAATTATTCTTTCTGACATACGCTTAAGCAATCATGTATCAAAAGGTTAATGACTGATGAAGTAGATTCCCCCCCCCCCCAACAGTAGGTTACCATTTCTTTCTGTGGTAGACCAGTTACCATCCAAGGCTAGAGAACCTGGTATGTTCTTCTATTTACCCATAGCTAGTGGGGGGGGGGAGAAGAGGATTCACACCTTTCCCAAGGGTATTAGCATGTAAGTGAATGTAATGGATTCAACTGGAATTCGAACTCAGCTCTCTGATTCCTCAATCTGAGCTGCTATCCATTAGAAAAATAATGAGAAGGAATTCTTAAATATTCAAAATAAAATATCTATGAACATTGGTAATATTCTTCTTCTATATGCTATAACCCTTCCGGACATGGGCAATCATGGATCACCACAATTTACTGTCCTTTGTGGTGCTTATAAAGAAAATGAATCAGAAAATTATGCTCATCTCTTTTGAAATCAATGTCTAACAAACAATGTAGTTTAAAATGATGTTCACCTCAGTATATAAATTATTTTCATCTTCATCTGTATCTTCATCTTGTTCAGCTCTTACGTCTTCAGCATAAAGCAGCTTGGTTAGTGTCAGCACAAATATATGGGGATGCCATACCTACAAACCACAAAAAAAAAAAATTTTAAAAATCATCAAACAACAAACCAGCACTTAAAAAAGTTATAATAGACATAAAAATCATTCATACAAAAGAAAATGAGATTATGCACTGAAAAAAGTTTGAATTTAATTGATATTTCTTTCTATTTTTTAATAATGACTTGTTTCAAAGCAGTTAACTGATCAATTTACATAGTCAAATGCAGCTTATAAACAAATTCATGCATTATTTTACTTACATGATCAATTGGATCTTCAAGATATAAAGAACCGTTTTTTTCAACATTGCTCAAGCCTGTATCAGTAGCACCTGTAATTGTAGCAATAATGATTTTAGTGATAGCATGCTTGCAAAATCCACATTCGTATTAAAAAATATGAAACAAAATCTCCTTATATTGTGATGATAGAAAAATAAATAAATAAATAAAAAATAAATAACAGGACCAAAATTTCACCATCTCTAAAAATAGACAGATAATACAAATTGACAGGCAAACATAGCCAGAGTTCAAACAACCAATCAGAAAGTTTTCACAACTAGAATGTAAGAAAAGAAGTAAATAATAACAAGGAGACCAAAATTTCACCATCGTTAAAAATAGATAGTATGACTAATCAATCAAAAAGCTTTCATAAGCAAAACATAAGGCCATGAGTAAATGAGAAGCAAGCAGCTTATTCAAAATGGACCTATAGATGTGTATATAAAAAAATTTTGGTTTGGTTGATTTTGTTTAATGGCATATCAACCTCCATGGGTTATTTAATGCCAAAATTGAAATATTTTGAACACAATTTTATGGCTTCAACCAAATCTATTTTGAATGAAATTGTATGCCTTCAACTACAGATAACTTGTTTTATTGGTAATTCTATGAAGTGCATTGTTGGTAATTCTACTATAAATATGTATTGTTGATATTTTTTTTTTAACAATTTTTATACTTTCATAGTGTTTTGTTTTTAGGTTTACTATTTGCCCATAGCTGGGACCCTAACGGGTACTACTACTCTGGGTCAAGATGGACCTGGGAACAACAGCAATTAAGAAGTGGTTCCATGCTCCTCAAAACATCCAATCTCCTGATCAGAGGTTTTGCTGCTGGATGTATTTTATTGGCGATATTGTAACACCTATTCTGACCCCACTGGATCGAAGTACTCTACAAGACCAGCTGTTGGTCCTGTCCTGGTCCAGTATTACAGGTTCAATTAAAGTCTCCGGTTCACAATGTTGATTTGGTTCCACTTTCCAGCCATGTTGTGATTTTTTTGTTTCTGGAGAGCAATTAACAAATCTTAGATCCTGGAAGATTCAGCTGGTCTACCTGCATGTTCGTTGGGGCCAAGCAGAATAATCAAATATGAACAAGTCAATTCGAGTCCAGAGAAAAATCTATATAGATGTATATAGGGAAGAAATTGGTACAAAAAGAATAATGCCATTTTTTCCCCACCCCCACAAGAAAGTAGTGTCTATGAAAAAAAGTCCAGAAAAAAAAACTAAAAAACAAACAAACAAATATTGCAAATAATTCTGAAAGGAGAGAAGTAGTTTTCAGGTTCACCCTTTTTGCCCTTAGTAGTTGCTGTAATTATTTCACTATCAGGATATAAGAGGGTTCATTGGCAATACTGTGCCAATTTTGCAGATAAACCGAGTTCACTTCGTCTTAATACAGCCACAAACGGACACTTTCACTATCTCTCTTGTCGACTGCTACTTCGACTCGACTGACTGACTTCAACTTGACTCACTGACACTACTCACTCTGTTTTTGCACAAACATGTGCTTAAATAAATGCCAATTGGTATTTCATAGTTCATATAAGCACTATTGTTTTGACATTTTATATTAATAATTCTGACGAAGCACAGATTCTCTGGGCACAAACTTTACCCAGATTATTTTTCTCATCTATAATCAAAATTCTATATTACTATAATTATTAATATCTCAAAGGTGACCATTGCTCTCTGCCACAATATAAGCAGATGGAGAATCAACTGAAATCAAAGTTGTTAAATTAATTTGTCCATTCTTCGATGCTGCAGATATTGTAACATACCCAGAAATGAAATACAACATTTGCACAACTAGCTGACGATCTTAGATAGCTAACCCATCATTGCTCCTTTGAAAAAAAAACATGCCTGTGGCTACTACATTTGGAGATATATATATATATATATATATATATATGTGTGTGTGTGTGTGCGTATGCATATTTGTATATTTTTATGTGTATATTTATATATATTCATAATTTTATGTTTTTAGTTACTTAAAATAGTCCTTTACTTATCATTTTATATTAGAAGATTGTTTTTCTAAAAAAATTATTTTGTATTAATATTTTATTATTACTATTATTTTCATAATCACCAACAATTTTTTGGGGTGGGTGGGAATTATAATGAATATAATATGATGACGTTGTTTCACTGTGTGAAATGAATAGACATCTCAATGTATCTCTTTTTTGAATATGTTCACCCTTTTTACTTGTCATGTCCAAGGGAAAAAAAGAAGTATGTTCTAGGTCAACCCATCAACTAACTACTTAACTCTTTTCTTTCTCCCTCTTACTCCACCCCCAAATGTCTATTGCTCTCTCTCTCTCTTTCTCTCCCCACTAAAAAACTTATTTTGAAATCTCTGTCTTCCCCTTTTATTTTTGAAACTTTCTTTTTGTCTATTACACCCTTTTTCTTTTTCTCCTTTTTTTGCTTGTGTCTGGATAAATTTAAAATCCATTTATTATTGTAAAATTTTTTTGTCTGTTGAGATGGGGCCTGATCCCTGATCCTATGAAATAAACTATTACCTATAGATTTCTAAGGACTGCATTTTCATTATTTTATTTTTTTTATATATATATATATATATATATATATATATATATATATACACACACACACACACACACACACACACACACTTCTTCCTGGACTTTTCTCTCTCTGACTTTACACTTGAGTTCTTGAAACTTCAACTTTTAACTTATCCTTGTTATTTAGGATTTATTTTGTATTTTCAACAGTTTGTGCATTTATTTTAATCATACACAAGACCATTGTACACTCAAGTCAATTATACCAATATATGTTGGGAATGGACATTGTTGTAAGATAAATAATTCATCCATAACAGACAACCTCATAACCACCATAATATCAACCCAGTTTCATAAGAGGAAAATTAGTGAGAATTAACATAAATTTAACCATATGAGTATTTTAGAATATTAAAACACGTAAATTTCAATAAAAGTTGTTAGTTTAATAATCTTTATTTAAATTAGCCAAGTTTAGCCCAAGGCCATAGAAAGGTACCCAGTAAGGCTTGATCTCACTACCGTAGGCTACAAGCTGGCTTATTGAATAATACACTATGGTAAAGGGACTGCTTCACTTATTCTAAAAAAAAAAAAAAAAAAAAAATAGTAAGCCAATCAATGAGAATCAAACAAAAAAACATACAAATGTTATATTTAATCATTTCACTCCAAGAAAGATATTAATGCCACTAAGACACAAGGGATTACTGAGTGTGAAAGGAAATGAGAAAACATTAGTGAAGAAAAAAGAAAATAAAAGAACAGGATTAATGAAGGCACAAGATGACGATTGATGTTACATTTTTGAAGATTGTAGGTGACAGGGAAACAAGAATCTAGATGAAGTTTGAGAGAAAAAAAATTAGAATAAAACTTAGGATTACACATAGCTATTTCAACAGTAAAACAAAAGAGGAGAGATTACAGGAGCCCTAAGTCATTAGCTTAGCATAAAACTAGAGATGCTATACAAGCAGAATTGGTGATGGCAATACATGAAAAGTATGATTAAAAAAAAAACCAAAAATCAATGCTACTTACTTTCATCTGCATTTACTGCACATTCAGTTGCACCTTTTTTAAGTTTTTTATTCTACAAAAAAAAAAATATATATATATATATATATATATATAAAAAGGGATAATCATACAACTATAATATTATATGAACAGTATCTAATTCATATTTCCACAATACACACAACCAACCAACCACAAAAACAAAATTCTAAATAATTATAGAATAGCTTTTTTACTAAGCTTATGTTAATTTTAGCGTAAGGCTACAAATATGAATCACCTAGTGAGGATCAAAGTCACTACTTGGTAATTATCTGTATATCAGTGCCTTAAATATTTACTAAATTCAGCAGTAGCAAAATCATACACACTACACATGTGAATTAGTTTACAAGGCAAGCTTATTAACCATTACACTGAAATAGGTATAGTATGTAACGTAAAAATTTGTACTTCATAGCACATTTTCAAATTCTTTTTCTATAAAAAGGTTTAATACAAAAATCTAAAGCTTTCCTCTGCATATTTAGGTAAAAGAAACCTTGAAATTGAAGATATAAATTTGTAAACAGCCACTCCTCACCTTGGGGTGGGGGGAATGGTCTTAATGGCCATCCCCACCAGACTCATGACAAGCTAGAAAATCTTAATAAAAAAAAAAAAAAAAAAACAAAAAAATCATCCAATTGGTATTGTACACTGTATGAAAACTATGGTATGATCATGATTATTTTCTTTCTTCCAAATTAATTAAAATAAATAAAATGATTAAATAAATTGAAAAATAAATAAAAATTTCATTTATTTATTGTAAATATAGTAGAAAGTACATCACATACAGTTGATCTTGTTTACTATATTTACTGTTCTATACACTACTGTATCAACATTTAGAAATAAAAAGTGTTATAAACAGTGCAAAAGTGACATTAGAGTTGAACCTATTATATGCATAGTATGTCTGAAATAGTTTAGGTACAACTTCTCACTCAGCAACCAGTTCATTTAGCAACGAGGTCAGTGGTAAAGAACCTGGTTGTGAAGTGAGGAGTGGCAGTATTTTCTGTAATAAAGAACACAATGAGAATAAGATGTACAACAACGAAGCAAATAACTGGTATTCAAATAGATGAGATCCATCATAATCTATTTGAGTATAATTCATTAATTGCTTTGTCTGAGACAATCTGGAAAGATTGAATCAAGAATGATGTCATCTTGATTTCATAAAAATCTATAATGAAAGGAAGGAGACAATTTTAAATAATACTGTTGAATAACATACCTTAAGAATAATTTTCTTCTTAAGCTGGTTAGGCGAAGGTAATTCTGTTTCATTCTTATCAATACATTCAAGCAATAAATCCTCTGTAAAAATAAAAAAAATCTGTCATAAAAAAAATGACAAATAAAAATGAGCTTTTCAAAGTTATGTAATTAGCTGTTTTGAACATATTAAATATAAGCAGAGGTTTAATGCATTCATTGATAATTGATACTTACATTTTTCAAAAAAGATCAGTGTCAAGTGGAAGAGAAAAAAAAATGTAATATTTTTTTATTTTAAACAGTGTTGAAGTTAACAGTGAACTGATCAAAACTGCTATTTTGGTACTTTTGTAAAAGGTACCAATTGGGGGGGGGGTTAACTTTCTGCTTTGTTTGTAGGAAATTAGGAACACTTACTATAAAAAGTTGCTAATGTACAACATACAAGTCTGCATACCAACCTCCAAACAGGTCTTTAAAAGCCATTGCCATCTTACGTTGCTGAGGAAGAGTGCAATGATTTTCTATAGATAGAATCAAAGGATAACTAGAAAAAAAATAAAATAAAAAAATAACATCAATGATAGAAGCATATATTTGAATATTTGCTGTCTTTTTAACAACTAATATATAAGGCTAAAAATTTGTGTGCCTGTTCAAAACATCAATAATTAAATATGTAAAGTTGATAATGTGTATGTATATAAATACTATGTAAAACTGCAACATTGAATAGATGTGTTTTTATTATCATTTGTATCTACTGGGTTAAAACCTAACAGAGAATTTGCATATTTAGCTTTAAAAATCAATTTTATTTTAAAATTTATTTCCAAGCTGGTATTTTGTTTTCTTTATAAGTAATAATTCTGCTAATGGCTTTTGTAATTAAATTGCTCAGTTATTCAAATATAACCATTTACTGCCTTGGAAGTGGTAATGACTTTAGATCACAGCTTTGGAGTATATATATTATGAAAAAAAATCTAAGAAATTTAAATTTTTGTTTCAGAAGTATTTATTTGTATATATTAAGATTTTTTTCATAAAAATATTAAAATAAATTATTCAATTTATTTGTTTAATAGCAGATTTATTTGTTCATCTTTGAGTTTAAAGAAAAAAAAAGCAAACATTTTGAGCAGAGGTAGCTATAATAGTAATCACGGATTTATAAACACTGTGTGGCTAAGATAATTGAATTTTTTTTTTAAGACTAGGTTTATACAAAATCATATTATTTATTATAACAATTTAACAATGATGTTATATTGTATAACATGTCTATCATTTAATCATTCATATTGTACTGACTATGATACCTACTTGCCATATATATATATATATATATATATATATTTTAGTTGTATGAAGTGTGCAAAATTTTGACATGAGATGCACAGAAGTCCAAGACCCCATTCACATCCACATGCAAAAAGCTACCGTGCTGACAAACTACAAAGAGAATGCCCCAAACAACAGCAACACAATTCACAGTAAGAATGAAATTGTAACTATTTTTTTTTTGTGTCTGTGTCTAACAATGCCCTTCTTTCCCAGATTCTGAAATTACAGACTGAATCTATGGACTGTCTAGGATTACTCAGACCTTCCAAAGTTTGCACAAAAAATATTGTGCTTTAAGAACTTTTGCAGTAAAAAAAATTTTGGTTGTAAATATGCAACATTTATGAGGATAAAATACAGGTATCTTTCCTGAGGTGTTTATAAATTGCATATTGTTCAATTATTAACATTAAAAATGAACTATTTTAAATTACAAAATTTTATTTGGATTAACCCTCTGAGCCCTGCATTCCTGAACAATTTTAACCCTTCTGTCTGAGCTCCTGAGTCAACATTTGCAAATAATTGGTATGTAATGTTTCATGGTAGATATGAAAATAGTTACAAGTATCTACCCACCATTCATTTTTCTCTACCACTGGTAAAGTGGTGGTCAGGGTTCAAAGGGTTAAATGAAAAAAATTACTTACAATATAATAATATTACTTATAGTACATTCCTTCTTGCCATCAATTTTGATGGCACGGGTATACTAATATGAAATAAACTGCCAAAATGTTTAACCCTATTGATTTGCTTTAGTTATGACTATCTCAATAATAACATTATAATATGATAGGCAAATCTCTCAAGCAAAGAAATGAAGCAAACAAAAAATAAAGATCAGTCCATGCAACAAGGAGTATCACTATTACTAAATTTTCATATTGTTGGACCAAATGTAAAAAAAAAAAAAAAAAAAAAAAAAAAAAAAAAAAAGAAAGAAAACATTTATTAAAGAGAACATTTCTAACAGTAGATTCCAGTATCATGAATATTTTCGATATCAATATGTCAAAAATTCCTTTCAACTCAAAGGGTAAATCAGAAGCTGGTCTGGTACAGCAAGTGTTGCAAAACCTAGTCTCATGATCCAAAATTCAGTCAGAGATCAATTAATAATGAGAGAAGAGAACTCACAAAATGACTGTTCTCAAAGACCCTCTCACAAAAAAAAAAAAAAAAAAAAAAAAAAAAGGGAGGGAGGGAAGGCAGGCCTTAAGTAACAAGGTGGCAGACCTGTACATTCCACCCCTTCTGATAAAAAGATTACAAAAAAAATGCTCAGAGTGACCTCGCTTTGAAAAACACACCATAGCAAACACTGCCTCCTATGTCTGACTGCAAGCCTACACATGCAGGTAATTTCACTTATTTTTCCACATATCCACAAGAGATGATAAAACATGAAATAAAAATTTGTCTCAACTGAGACAAAAAATACATTGCAATTAATAACTTCGATAGGATAAAAATTAAAGAAACATTTTTGTTTGTAGATTACAATCATTAACTATGTTATTGATGTTTTCCAATTTTTGCTTGTACTTGCACATGACAAAGAAAATTATTAATTATGCAGTCATACAAGATATTGGTTATAAAATCATTTCCATTAAACATAACTTAAAAATGTGAGATTAACTAAATCATCATTGTTTTGATAAAGAGAAGACACAAATAAGTAAAAAGAAAAAAAAAAAAGAAGGCTTACTCAGTTTTAATCCAGGCATGTTCAGCAATTGTTTTGAGGACATCAAGAAACTTTATTTTACTTGTCCATGTATGTCCATGTGTTATGTGTGGATAACCCTCAGGACCATCCCAGCAGTCCACTGAATGATAAAAACAAATATTATTATTAATTGCACAAATATTTTCAAGCATTTAAACTAAAAATTAAGAGTCTCCATTCTGTTAAAGATAAAAAGAAAAAGAAACTAACACTCTTATAAAACTACCATCAGGTCAGGAGAATAATTTTTCATTCAAGTGTAAAAGGCAAAATGTTACTGTAACACAGGCTCGCCAGTTAAATTTACTAAATTTGGAATGTATCTGCATCCCCACCCCCACATAAAAAGAATATGGCATAATATTGTATTTAAATTGGGAATCCCATACATGAGGAGAGTAATGATAATTGCCTTCTCTCCATTGGCACTTCCTTCACAACAGAATCTTTGCACAACCCAAGTAGTGCTGCCTATAAGGAGGATGGACCCTCTGGAGTTGAGTATATTGCACTTTGAATCAAATCCAATCACAAATGATTAGGACAGATTATTTAAATAGATATTCATTCATACAGCCACTCAAACAGAATCTGATAAGGTACAGTGTGAGTGCATATGTACATGGGCTTGGGGCAGGTTATGAAAGTACAGAGGCAGAAAAACCCAATCTGTATATATGTAACAATATTTAACATGGTGTACGGACGAAAAGGGTTAAAATAAAACGATTTTAAATTTTTGTCAGAAAGGGAATTATTTTCCCAGGATATGGGAATAGATGTATGAATTTTGTTGAAAAAGTTAAACAATGCAGTTTGGCAAACAGGTGCAGGATCAGAGGCCAAAGGTTAAGGTTAGCTGTTGAAAGATGTCCAACTTGACTGAAAAAAGTCAGCCAAAATATCCCTGAGAAAAAATTACAATTGTAAACAGATTTAAAAACAGAAGATGGCATCAGAAAGGCTGACATCATATAATGGCTCCTCTTAAAAGAGGAGATCTTCCAAAATCGGAAATGTGAAATAGAAAACAAAAGAAAACAACTGGTTGAATTTTGGGAGATTTGCATAAAACCCACCTATTCGCCTGCACCACACCAGTTGAAAGGGACACCCATAAATACAAGTGCCCATGTGGGCTAAAGTTAGTTGGAGTTGGATCTGGGGTTTTCTTTGCTGTTGGAGTTGCAGTCGGAGGAGTTAAGATATTTATGATATAATACTGCTTGCCAACCTAATAATAATAATTATCTGCTGAAGAAGAAAAACCCCGACGAAATCCTTGTGCCATCCGTGAAAGTACAAACAATAGTACTTGAAGTTAAATCCAGTTGTCACAGAAGAAAAACTCCGACAAATAACCTTGTGCTGTCCATGAAAGTACAAATCACAGTACTTGAAGATTCTCCAAAGCTACCTGCAATTTTTGTTTCGTCGCCAATTATTAGTGGGTTGGGAAAAGAAGAAAAAGAACAAAGAAAAAAGAACATTAAACATTTTTTTTGTTGTTATTCTGATATAAACCTCATATCATGGCTTATTCGGGCATCGTCCATTTTATTTTTCAATTTTGTATACACATGTTCAACTCTTTGGTTTAGCGTGGTTAAGATACCCCAGTGGAAATTTGGCTTGACCCTCTTAAGATCAAAATCACAATGTGGGTAAGAGAGGTCAACTTTGGGACCAGCTGCTGTGTCAAACGCCATCAACAACTGATGAGTGGACTGACAGCTTGTTCTCTGATACCAGGATCGATACTGACCAAGCGAGTAGACCAGGGTTGTCCTGGAGTACTGGCCTACCTGATGACCGAAGCAGACTGGGCCCGGAATGCCGTCTTATAATTGGTCGCCACAGACAGGCTGCAGCTCCTGAATAGGTCATAATTGGTGCTGTGACCAGTCCATGGCCCCGAACACCGCCATACATAGTCTCAGTGGAAGAGTCTATTGATAATGTGAAATGAACTTTCATTTTTGAAAAGTTCTGTAATAAAGATATTTAACCTTTCCTACTTTAAGATTATGAACAAATTCATGTTAGAAAAGAAACCAAAAAAAACAAACAGAATTGTATAGTTTCATTTAGGCCAATGTCTACATCAATTTTTTTTTTTTTTTTTTAACATTTTGACTGCTGTACTCTCAAGCTCTTCCTTGGTAATTGTCATATTTTTGAATGTTGAACTTTGTTCTGTGGACCATACACTTCTCCCACTACATGTCACATGTTTGTGTTAGAGAGCTCCTTGAACCAATGACCTAGTAAATTTTCATCAGCATTTTGAATCATATTTTTGGCAACACAAATTCATCTGTTATTAATCTTTGACAAGTATTTACATCTTAATATCTATATTGATATAAATATTTATGTCTTAAATTTTTATTTTAGTTGCTTTTTATTGAAACTTGAATTTAGACCATCAATTTGTCAATAAGTAGACAGCACGGGACTGGATATAAAGGATAAATTCCCAGTGAAACTCAGATTTTTCCCTTTTGCCTCAAGAAAGCCTGATTCACTACCAGTTGCTTTAATTGCTAAGCTACAAGAATTTGATAGCTTTGTAAAGACCAATGATAATAAAAATACAACAAAAGTCATACTGGGTCAGCAGATTTTGATATTTTGCTGAATGGTTACAACACCTTGTCTGGGGGAAGAAAAAAAAAGCCAGACAATTGATCAACTTTATACACCCATCATTTCCGCCTGATGATTATTATCACATGAAACTCAGAGTAGTGGATTTTGATATTACTGAATTAATATTATTATTTTTAGGTTCAGTCAACTTGAGTCCCCAGTTTATTTTATATTTTAAATTTTAGCTTTTATTCTTACTATTTGTACACATCCTTCTTGGCTTGGCTTCGTGAACAAAGATTTATAAAGTGAGCTATCCACGCCAACTGCAGGCATGCCAATGGCCAATAAGGCTGATACGGGACAGGCAAGTCCGGCAGCAGTGACTAAAATTAAAGATCTGGTCTGGTATAGCTGCTGAGGCTTCTTGGTCCTTCCTTCCACAGCGTTTCTCCGTCAGGTTGGCCCTGCAAGAGTCCACAAAGGTGGAGACGGCCTGGTGGATGATGTGGCACCAGGCTTGACAGTCAGCAGCAAGTGTCAGCCACTGGCGATGTTCAATGTGGCAGGTACCAAGTCCTTATAACACTTCCTTGGTGTCCTCCTGACATGGTGACCAGTGGAGAGTATGCCATACAGGGCTATCTTGGGTAGGTGATGGTCCCCCATTCTGGAGACGTGCACTGCCCAGTGTAGCTGTGACTTCAGCAACATGGCTTCGATGCTTTCACCTGTTCGAGGGCCTCAATGGTGACATAGTTACTCCAGTAAATGTTGAGGATGGCATGGGGAGTGCTGATGGAAGCATATGCACACAATATATAACACCTTGTATTTACCCATTTACAGCACTGTTTTAGACTTAGTGATTTTTCAAAATGGGTTTATTAATAGCATTCCCAAGATTATTAATAGTTTCAATTTTTTTTTTTTAAGAAATGTATCAACATGTTGACAGTTCAAAATTTAATTCCTTTTATATATTAATTTATTCACATTCTTAAATTCTATGATTTTTAGTTGCTCCTCCATATGTAGATTGCAATTTCTTCCTTTGTTTTTCCTTATCTTCTTCATTATATACTATTCTACTAATGAGGCTTTCAATCTCGTTTTTAATTCACATTATTTATATATAAACATGGTGTCATTCTTATATCTTTTGTATTTGAGTGATAGGAAATGATTTACATATCATCCCTTAAATTGTTTCACAGCTGCCCCAATGTAAATCCTCTTCTCCCTGGTTTCTCCTTTGTTATCACTTTTGCCTTATTTTCCTGTAGTGGACATTTGGATTTATTTCTATAACTATATATTTTGTTATTGTTTTGTATTGTAGCTAGTTAGTACTTTGTTACTATGTTTTTTTATCATTTGTTCAATATTATCTATGCAACTGTAACTAATTTTATGCTGTTTCTATTAAATATTTTGTTTGTATGATTTATAGAAGTATTTATCTATTTGTATTAACATTCTTATTGTATGGTAGATCAAAACATTCTATTTTTCTTTTCTGCTTTTAGTATATATTCTAATCTTGTTTGAATCCACTATTATTTAATAATATTTTTTATTTTTTTACTTCATTAATTATTCTTTCATCTGAAAAGTTGTCTAATTCTAATTATTATGGTATATTTCTTATCAAAGATGGAGGATGATTCAACAATGTGCTTATATATCGAAGAGATTATTTTCATTGATCCAAATGATTTGTTTGTCTTTATTACGGAAACAGATGAATATCACCTTTATAAATGATAAAGTTTAAAAATAGTAAGTAAAATATAAAAATGAATATATCTGATCCATACCTGAGGAAAGCTGGCAAAAAATTAAAAAAAATAGTGAGGGTGAAGATATTCATAATCTGCGTGATTCATCAATCAATGACTACTTCAAATCAGAGCTTCATGGGAAAAGAAAAAGAACGAAAAAGAGAATGAATGCTTACACTCAAGGCATCTACACCCCATCATAAGGCACCTAGCATAAGCTTCACATGAAGATTCACCATTAAATTGACTTCCAGTTAAATATCTACAAACAATAAATAAAGTTTATTTTAATTGAAAAGCTATGATTTATTGATAAAAGTATTTTTTTCAACATACATAATTATTAGTAGAGGAATAAATGCAATAGGTTAGGGAGATTTATATTATCATTAAGTATGATCTGATCAGTGAACACAAATATGTACAATATTAATATAGACTCTTTCATTAAAAATGAAATATTTTGATATAAGAAACTGGTTATATTACTCTATCTATATCAACATTATTTCATGTTTCTTGTATATCAGTCCAGGTTTTGCTTGGACAAAAGTACAGACAATAATCAATTACTTATTAAACTGAACATAACCCAGGATTATGTTCATGGCTTTTAGTGTTAATATTTTTTGCCATAAAAACAGATACTCAATAAAATAAGTAGCAAGCAAAAAGTAAGAAAAAAAAAAAAGTGGGCATATAGTCACCACTAGCAACTTAAAAAAGAATGAGTGACAAAAAAAAAAAATAAAAAAAAATAAAAAAAAATGTTGAACAGTTATTGTTCTCTCTCCCTCTCTAGAGTTCAATGAAGGAAAATAAAACAGCTGTACACATGACTATTGATTTGTTCTTTATGGCTTATCAACCTTGTGCAGGTTATTTAAAGACAGAAAATATTTTTAGATTGTAAGAATCTTTTTGAGAGATAATGAATTACTGATACAAAAGTAACTAATTAACCCATAGCTGGGGGAGAAAATGTGGGTTCATACCTTCCCCAAAAGTATTTGAGTGCAAGTGAATAGTAAATTGTAACTCGACTGATTTCCAGTGTAGAACTCCTATCTATTATACTACCTGCACAGCACCTAGTGGCTGTACAAGAACTAGTGTTTCAATGCAATATGGCTGTAAACCTTTGCACATGATGAAAAAGCGTCACAATGAGGATCAATGTACTAATATAAGTCAAAAGCTGATCACCTAGACCAAGCAACCACTCTGTTTAAACAGAAAAGCTGCACAGATTCAACAGATATGGTCTCCAATACTTTCAGGTGGTAATCTAAGTGCAAATGGTTTAAAACAGAGAACATGTCCTCATGGTAGGCCAAGGCATACTGCCCATTATTTAAAAGATGTTCTGCTATCACAGATGCAGATATTTTTGCATTTATACAAATTCTGAAACTGACCTTTACAAATGATGGCTGGCACATTTTGGCTAATTTGCTTCTTCAACAATTGAGTGGTTCTACCCATATAGTCAGCATTTCACTGTCATTTAAATTTAAATTTTTTTTTTTTTTGAAAACATTTAGAAATTATTTATACTATTTACATTGTTTGAACTGTTGTCCTCATCTTTGTTGCCATATTCCAAACAATGTAAATAGTATAAATAATTACAATACCTCATCTCAGAAATATAGTCAAACATTTAAAAATGTTTATTAGTATTTTAAAAATAGTATTAATAAAATTAGTATTAACAAAAGTGATATTTTAGGTGTCCCAAAATTACTAAACTAATTGATAAAACAATAGTTGAACAAATAGTATAGATTATTCTTTGCTTTTACAATATTGTTAGTTTTACATATAGGAGCCTTCCATCTATCAAAGACAATGGTTAAAATAGACACAATATCAACAGCATATTTAGGTAGAGATACACTCACATATATTACATAATAAACATATGTGTGCAAAATACAGAGATATGAACAGACAAAATTAAATTTTACTGAAGTGAAACTTAAAGATATCTTACGTATTATGAGAAGAAGATATCCAGTAACGTGCTAAAGGTCTGTCCATGTCCTGCGTCACTTTATCATGCTTCACGTCCCACACTTGATTTACTTTTGAGAATAAATAATCTTCAAACTGGAAAAAAAAAATACATCATTTGTTAAAAGGTGGAATTTTTAATAGAGTTAACTGTACTGTACAAAAGTTTAGGAATTAGAATAATAGAGGCTTTGAAAGTTTACATCTAAAGTGTATTGTTGAATAAATCATAACTGGAAGGAAATTTTCATTTTAAAAATGGATGGTATTTAATGAAGAAAAACATCAACTGAACAGTATTGTTCTAACGTACATCAATATCTGCACAAAATATCTTTGAAAAGAAAAAAAGATATTGTCAGACAGAAAAAAATTATCTCCCAAAAGAAACTTGCAAATTAGTGCTAATATTGAAAGTTTCTGGAAGTCATAAAATAACTATTGGTCCGAGTGCTTTTTACATGTTGCTTGTATCTAAGTTGTGTAGATATGGTATATCCTATGAGGAACATTATAGTTCTCTTTTACTATCTAAAGAAATTAGTCTTCTAGTTTATTGGCTTTTCAGATCTTCCTTTTGTATGAATGCACTGATAAAGTTTACCCAATCATGCTATGAAATTAGAGGTCATAATCGTAATCGAGAAAGCCGGTGAGGGTGGGGTGGGGGTCTCGTAATCTAGAAAGCTGGAGTGGAGTAGGGGGTTGTAATGGGAAACCAAGAAAGCCAGTGAAGTATGTGGGGTGGGGGCCGTAATGGAGACCAAGAAGGCCGGGGAGGTGGGCCGTAATGGAGACCAAGAAGGCCGGGGAGGTGGGCCGTAATGGAGACCAAGAAGGCCGGGGAGGTGGGCCCGTAATGGAGACCAAGAAGGCCGGGGAGGTGGGCCCGTAATGGAGACCAAGAAGGCCGGGGAGGTGGGCCCGTAATGGAGACCAAGAAGGCCGGGAGGTGGGCCCGTGGAGACCAAGAAGGCCGGGAGGTGGGCCCGTAATGGAGACCAAGAAGGCCGGGAGGTGGGCCGTAATGGAGACCAAGAAGGCCGGGAGGTGGGCCGTAATGGAGACCAAGAAGGCCGGGAGGTGGGCCGTAATGGAGACCAAGAAGGCCGGGAGGTGGGCGTAATGGAGACCAAGAAGGCCGGGAGGTGGGCCGTAATGGAGACCAAGAAGGCCGGGAGGTGGGCCGTAATGGAGACCAAGAAGGCCGGGGAGGTGGGCCGTAATGGAGACCAAGAAGGCCGGGGAGGTGGGCCGTAATGGAGACCAAGAAGGCCGGGGAGATGGGTGGGGAGTTTTGTAATGGAAACCCAGAAATTTGGGGAGGTGGATGGGGGTTCGTAATGGAGACTGAGAAAGCCAAGGAAGGGGGTGTAATCGAGACTGAGAAAGTCGGGGAGGGGGGCGTAATAGAGACCGAGAAAGTCGGGGACGTGGGGGTGTTAACTGAGACCAGAATGTGAGGGGAGATCAAGACTGAGAATGTCAGTGAGCCCCTGGAATAAAGATTGAGCGTGGGAGAGGGGCAGAGCAGAATCAAGACCAAAAAAACTGGGAGGAACAACATCAGAACATTTTGAGAATTATTGATGAATAACTAACAAGATGGATATAGCAGACAGAATTGTGTCCAAAAAAACTTCACCAAGGATATTTAAAGGAAGTCCTGAAAAGTTTTGAGCTCAGTCTCCTCCTCAAAACATCTGAATCATTTTTGTAATTCGTTTTACATTTGGTTGAGAAATTTTCATCACTTCTGCATATTACTGATAGAAGTGTATTTTTTTTAATATAATTTTAATGTTTTTCATTTATATTTTAAATGCAAAGAGCAATCACAAACTAATGTCGGAAGCTGTTCTAACAGAATAAAGAGCCATTTTAGAAGTTAAAACTTGTATTGTACGTATTGTACCTGATGGTAGGATGCTACATGTTTTAGCTCACATCAATACAAAGAGAAAAGCTGACTACCAAATATATAATATAATCCTCACTGAGCAAGATCTTTCAGTTCACCACAGGAATCAGAAAGAAACTTATGGTTAGTCCTTAAACAAATTATATAACAAAAAAAATATTCATTTCAAACAAGGCCAATTTCTCAGCTTTATCAGCATATTTAGAAAGTTTCAAAACTATCTAAAAGTTACAATAATCTTTAGCCAATAATACAATGAAACTGAGTTATTGAATTATTTAAGTAATTTACCTCTTGCTCTGTAAAATAAAGGTTAACAGCAGCAGCTCGCACCAGGTCGTCCAGATGATTCTTCATTATTTCCTTCACGGTCTGGATGTTGTTAGCTGTTGTTTCCTACAATGTATCAGATTAAATCAACAGTGGAATAACATGAGACACCTCCTCTTTCAAATAATACCTTTAACATGTTGACTGTAAGGTCACTATATATTGGTGATATGACATTTCAGTTTATGCTGTGTCTCCAGATACTGGTGATTGTCATAGTCAAGTTATTTCATCAAATGCTGGAGATACTCTATACATATTTTTATATAAAGCAATGTCTGTAGCTTCCTATGAAATTTTGGTAAAATTCATATTGCACATTGCTTCACTTAACTTTTATTTGAATGCTTTATAAATACATATTAGGTATAAAAAAAAAAGAAGCTCAAGAAAAAATAGTTCTATGGGAAGAAAGAAAACGAGTACTTACAGAATTAATTTTGTCACCAAGATATGGTGACTGGATCATAATTTATAAAATAAATGTAAATCACATTTACGGTATGTAATAATGCTTCTTTATTTGCTATGAAGTATCTAATTTTAAAAAAACAATGCATATTATATATATATAATTTAGAAAATCTGAAAGAATATTTTGCATGCAAGAAAGTAGCTATCACTACAAGTTGGTGACATGGCTTCTGAAGTTAGGAAAAACATTTTGGCAGCCATTTCTCAAAAAAAATATTAGCACTAAAAACTTTTGATACATAAGTCTTTTACAATTTAAAAAAGAAAGGAAAAGAAAAAAATAATGGGTTTACATGTTTCAATAGTGATTTTTGGTTGGCAGTCAACGTGTCAATCATAAACTGTACAATGAGTAAGAAATTTTCACTTAAATAGATTTATAGTTAAAGCATTTTTATTAAGTCTATAGTACCATATAAATTTATTTTACTATACAACAAATATGAAAAAAAGTAAATTTTAAATTAGAAAGAGTGAAACTGACTACAATAGGAAATGTTGTGTGAAATGTATTTGCATAATAGTAAAATTGCAAATGCATAATATAGTATCTCTTGATACCAAAAAAGCCCATTTCTTTCCAGGCCATATTACAGCAAATAACCTCCCCCCATATATATATATATATATATATATATATATATATATATATATATATATATATAAGAAAAAGAGGCATCTCCTATGCAGACCACATTACAAATGACGCAGTGTGAGATATCATCAGACAAGAAACAAGCCCCCCGTTGAAAGACCTCATATCCACCCTCAAGAGAAAGTAAGTCAATAACTTTTCCACTGCTATTGTACAAGTTACCAACTTGAGCAAAAGAGGCAGACAGGAAAAATGAACTGATAATGTCACTCGGTGGATTGGAAGTTTACAGTAAGTTTACATCCATACCCAGTCATGAGACTGAATATGATGAAAATGGTATATATATCTAAATAATTGTTTTGAAAAATGTTACAGCAAAATAACAATAAAAATTAATTAGTACAAGACAGCAAGTCAGAAAACTACTTACCTTCTGTTCTAGTATCAAAAATGATTGGAATTGATAAGGTGACATCTTCCTGCAAATAATATCAGGAAGCACTGAAGAAATGCAAACAGATTTCAATGTGAATAAAACCATCCCACAATTTCCTTTTTATTAATGAGGATCAACATGGTGGGGGGAGATCAATAAAAAACTAAATATTTTTAAAAGTACACATCATGAATGTTACTAGTTTTCATAGTCTTAGTCATGGATACAAAGTAATGACACAGTGAAGTAAAAAATAAATTTCATATTACAAACTATTGCATACAAATACCCATCAAAATGCAACTTCCACATTACTATTTCCAGTTGATCACAATTATTTACTCCTGTCTTAATAGTTAGTCGGATAGGTCCGACAAAGTAAAATTGGAAGCTGCTCTCAAAAATGACCTACAATCAGTTGTTAACTGGGGCAAAAAATGGTTTGCAAATTTTAATGCATCTAAAACAAAACTGTTATTCTCTACACATCATAGAGAACCGTTTTTGCCCCCCCCCCATCAGCATGGCTGATGCTAACCACCAGGAGAGCAACTCCCTCCTTGCACCTTCTTATTTCACATTTTCTACTGACATGATGCGGAGCAGTGATATTGAATTAGTTGCTAGGCCTGCTGCTAAGAATTTTGGTTCACTCTGTCATACCAGACAATTTTTTCATCAGAATCCATCCATTTTTTCATCAGAATCCATCTACCATTTGTCCATGCATTGAATATTGCTGCAATATGTGGTCTGGTGCCCTGGCTATAAATCTCAAGATTCTCAACAAAATTCAAAGAAGAGTCTGAATTGTTTTCAGTCCTGACATGGCATCTCAACTTCAGTCAGTTTCCCAACCACCATGATGCAGATTCCACCTGTCTTTTCTATAAATATATAGTTATCTCAATCATGAAAATTTAAGCATACTATTAGATTGGCTACTAGGTCTCATTATTTTACTGTTGAAATATCTAGATGTAACCTTAAGTTTTATTCTAATAGTTTTTTTTGCATTTCTCAACTTTGGAACTCTTCCAACTTTTTCCTTTCCTGCCACCTTAAAAAATTTAAATGCTATGTCAATCATCATCTTCTGTCTTCCTGAATCTTGCTTTTTTTTTTTTTTTTAATTGTCCTTTCTGCTCAATAAAGCCTTCTCATTCTTTTCCACTCCCAGTAATTCATTGCATCTTGGTAGCATTATCACCTTGCTTGGGGTGAAATAATTAAAAAGAAAAAGTTTTTCACTATGAAAACTTACCTGAGATCGCCAGTATAACTAAAATATGAATAAAAACGTTCTGTGATGATCTGAAATAGAAAATAATTTATTAAATTTTTATGAATATATATATATATATATATATATATATATATTATATATATATATAGAGGTATTTTTCTATTAAATCAATATCTATCAATGACATTGGCATATAGTGAACAATCATTTTTTATGAGTTGGCACACTAAAGGGAGAAGTATTTTAATATATATATATATATATAAAATAAAAACGTGTATTAGTTAAAAAGTTGAAGTAAAAAGAAAAAATATGTTACTTGTTGACAGGTGAAAAATGTAGCAATTTTGAAAGCTTTCAAAAAAATAAAAAAATTAAATAAAATGAAAAAAAAATTATCATTTTATTTAAAATGAGGCAGTTGCCTCATCTTCTAAATTATCATAGGAGTAGTGGGGGATCCTCTACCCCAATTGAAGGGGAAAATAATGCATACATACATATGTACATATAATAAAAGCCTAAACCATAATTGGCACATATTTCTTAATGTATGTTTTGGGTTAGTTTCTGTAAAAATGACAGTTATCTCCCTTTAAAAAGATACACATAAGACAAGGCAAATCCCAAAATATTGTCTTGATGCAGAAGAAATTTGAAATTAAAAGGAAAAATTACAAAGCTTTGGCTTAGCAAAACGATTACATCTATTCTGCTACTTATTTCCTAATTTAAAAATACAGAAAAAGAAAATGCTATCAAATTTGTACGTAAATTCTATATAATCAGGTAAACTTTAGTTTATTAATATAAATTTCCTAATACATTTATAAATTGCAATTAATAACAAATAATTAACTTGTAACTTAAAAATCTAAAATCGTTTTATGTTTCAATGGCAGAACCCAGACATCATCACAGATATAAAATTAATTTATTTATAAGGACTATTGATTTTAATTGCATTGTTATATCCTGAATTTTATCAATGCCTACGACTGACCAGTTTCTTTAAAGTTGTGCATTTTCTCTTTCCTGAATCTTTAAATATACAGATTCCAAGTAAAATTTGAGAACTCCAAGATAACCAAAATCTTCTGAGACCAACATTAAATATTTCAGATTTTAACCATGAGTTGTTTCACTTGTCATGGTAGCATATTTTAAAAACTATTAGTATCTCAATTTATTAAAACAATTAACTCTTGGTAGCTACAAGTTGTCAAAAATCAGAGTAAATTCATATGATCTTCCCAACCTTCATTTATATCTAAGTTAAAAAATAATTAAAGCAGTTTCATTTCAAGTATAAATACACACATTATTTCTGCAGTTAAATTATTTTTAAGGCAATGTGGCAATAATTTGGTTGGTATATTTGATAAGCACTTTCATCAGGTCATAACTGTCACCAATTAGTCCCAAGGTCACGATCACACAAAACTTTCTACATGCACATTGTATCACAAGCCATGCAGAAAGGGAAATTGATGTGGTAGAAGGAAGGAATTTAGAAGGTCTTTGATCAAAGAACCATCTAACTGAGCTGATCTATTCCCAAACAAAAGTGGACACAGGTGTTGCCAACTTTAAATAGCGATTATGGCTCTCCACAATTTCCTATCTTTGAATTTTTTTTGGAATGTATATAAATGTGTCAGTTTTTGTAGATATGGTTGATCTTACATGACATTATCAGAAAATAAGAATGATAATTATAGTAAATTTAAAACCAAAATATCTAAAATTCAATAAAACATTAGATTATGGAGAATATTTTCCTAAATTTTTAAGATTAGTGAGTACTTAAAAATTATATATAAAATGTGCTCACATTATATTCAATGATTTTTTTATGGATAAACCTTCCATAGAACAACATTAGATAAACACCAATCTATCATCACATCAAGATCTTAAATAAACAGCTAAAAAATAAACATGTTAAAAAATGCATTTCTATGATATTTTAAAGTAAATAATATTTTTTCAAATCAGATTAATTATACTTTAAATTAGTAATTTAAATCAATATTCCTCAAATAAAGTTTCAGAAAAGTATATATTGCTTTTGGAAGATTAATTTAATAAAGAGAATTACATTGCAATGTGGGTTAAAAATGGTATTAAATTAAGATTTTTTTTTAGCAAGAAAAAAAAAAAAAAGAAAAAAAAAGAAACACACTCCTTTCAGTCAACTTAAATTAGTTTTGAAATAGAGAAAAGTATTTTGCTGATTGGAAATACTAAATTTAATCTAATTTGAAATTAAATCTAAATTAAAAACTTCATGAAAGATTTTTCATTTTTAAAAATTCATTTTAAACCTTAGGTATCACAAACCTGTGGAGGTACCTAATATAAATGCTACTGAAATCTTAAAGAATGAATAATTTTTCTGAGAAGCAATTTCAAAGCACTATTTTTTGTACTTTACTGTTGATTTTATACAATGAAAATATGAAATACCAAACACTTACAGACGGTACATGTATAAGGTTCCTGAAAAGTGTGGCAAATTCTTCAAATACTATTGACCCCCGGTTAGTTGTATCAACTTCCTGTAAAAAGATAACATTGCATGAAATTGAGGGATAAAAGTAATTATCAGGTATTGATTTTTTTTAAATTGGTGATTTAAGACTAATTTTAAAAAAATTAAATTTTGGAAGATGGCAAATCAGAATTTAATTTCCAGCAGACTAATTTCTTCACCTGTTTTTTTTTTTTTTTACTACAATGTTTTGGTAGTGCACTCTCTAGCCTTCCTCAGGCATCAGTTGTGTTATCTTGGTAATATTTGACATTATCTCACAGCAATGACAGTATTCTAGTACACCATAGACACCTGATGAAGGCCAGGTACACATAGTGGAAACATTGGCAGGAGAGAAAAAAAGGACAAGTCTCAACAAAATCATATACAATTAAAACAAAAATGATCAAACCAATTATTTAAATGGAATAAATTCACTTCTTCACTTCCAATAAAATATAAAATCTATGAATCTATACAAAATGAACCGATCCCAATACAAACAAAATTTATCTTCCACACTAAAGACACACACAAAGATGGCACTAAAATGTTCTTAGGACAACCAAGAGACCTCTTAAAAAAAAATAAATACAAAAAAATATGTGTTCAGATTTTCTCAAGCAGACCTGGCTAAAAAATTTTCAGTGCTCCTGCACACCATATATATATATATATATATATATATATATATATATATATATATATATATATATATATATATATATATATATAAGCAAATCTTTCTTTCAAACATCTTTCATTAAGTACAGCCAACAAGGAAGATTTCTTTATTTTTTTTTTTGTTAAGCTTTTCCAGCATGTTTAGGTTTTTCTCTTATTTTTGTGTTCATTATATATATATATAAAATTATATATATCTTAAAATGGTCAGTCATAAAAATAAATGTTAATATATCATTTGGTACAAGATAAAATCTTGAAATTATTAAAATAAAAAGTATTCTGCATGATGTGCAAAACAAAATAATATTATCTCTTATAGTGTGTGTGTGTGTGTGTGTGTGTGTGTAAGCAAAGTTGAGAAATGATCAATTTTCATTTATAAAAGTCATAACCCATTTCTTAGTAAGATTCCCCCCCCCTCACAAAATACACACACACAAAAGAAAACATAAAATACTTATTGGTACACAAATATACTATATATAAAGATTTTTTTCTTTTTGACAACCACAAGAAATATGTATACACAGACACAAATAGAAAAAAAAATAACCTGTTACCTGAAATTTATCTCTCAATTTGCTTGTAGCAATTTTATAATTAATCCGAGACATCCATGCTTTAAGGTGTTTCTGTGTGACACTGCAATATTAAAAAAAAAACAATCACACTTCAAAATTGACAAAAACTTAAGTCAATTTATAGAAGTTATAGGAGACAATTACATCTTCAGCTATACTATTTTAACAATATAATTTTTCATACATTTTCAATTGATCATTTTGGTTTCAGATATTTTAGCAGAAACAGTCACAATATCAGTGATGATCTTCAGCAAAAGACAAAACAGTAATAAGCATTTTTCTGTCAATATTGTGTTGGTTCACCCAGTGCTTTATTCAAACTATTCCATTTGATATGAAAGAATCAAAAGGAACAAATCATGCAGATGCCCTGGACACAAAATTTGCAACAATTGTGCCTGCTTTTAGAAAACAGAACTTAGGAGGGGAGCTAAATTATAATGATTTTCTAAGCCCGGCTTAGATGTTTCACAAGGCCAAAAGTATGGGGCACCCAGTGAGGATCGAACTCACTACTTGGTCATAATTGATCTAGCAAGACAAGCTTTCTAACCATTCCACCACGTCGAGGTGTGCAGGGGAGCTAAATTATATACAAGTAATTGATTAGTCCTATATGTTATGTCCCTTCAGGTTATGGATGATCATGGTTGCCCAAAATTTCCTGTCCATAGTAAAGTTTGCCTTTTTGCTATCTCTCCTATTTCTTGTTCTGCCAACAATTTAAACAAGCTTGTTAGGTTGGTTATGTACAGTTTTCCTCTGTCCTTCAATATGCCACCTGAGTGTCAAATTTTCTCAGCTCTCTTTCTTCATGATCTACCTTAGAGATTTCAACTGTCTTTTTTGATGCAAAGATTGTGAATTTATTGTTTCCTTTTTCTCTGAAATGTTGCAGTTGGTCATATATTCAGTCCATGATATTCTCAGCATCCTTCTGCAGAATCAAATTTCTGTTTCCTCTAGTCTTTTCTTCATCTATGAGGAGATTGTACAGCATTCGCTGCCATATTGGAGGACTGATATTATGTAACAGTTCAGTATTACTTTCTTTGTTTCCAACAAAATTTTCCTGTTTCTTAATACTTTGCTTAATTTTCAGAAGGTATCTTTTGCTATTCCAATGCATTACTAGATATTTAAATTTTTGTACTTGCTTAATTTCAGTTATCTCCAATTCATAATTCACATGTTGGGCTGTTTCTTTTGCAGACAACCATACATTGTTATGTTTAGTCCTTTCTTTTCACTTCCTTTCTGTATCTGCTATCAAAATTCTCTCATCTGCATATCTATGTTGTTAAGATTGTGACCATCAATAACGAATCCTAATAGAGGTTCTAATTCTTTTAGGATTACTTCACTAGAAGTTGAATAAGTTTGGTCAGAAGAGATTTTCTTGTCATACACCCATTTCTACTTTTGTATATTTACTGAATTCATTTTTTAACCATATGCAGGCAGTTTGCTCCCAGTATAAATTCTGGATAATTTTAATATCTTTTGAAAATAAATGATGCTTACTTAGTATTTCTAACAGTTCTTTCTGGCATACTTTATTAAACACTTTTGTATAATCTATAAAACATTAGTTAATCACAGTATTAATTCCCAAAATTTGTAAAACTAGCAATTTACAAGTTGTCAATTTTCAATTAAGAGAGGAAGAAAAAAAATTTATCCATAAAATAATAAGCAGATTAAACAAAAATTTAATAAATACTGTCACATCTTTAAAGGAATTTTCATGCAAATAAATTTCTTATATATTCATTTCATCCCAGGCAAGGCAATAATGCCACGAAAGTGCAAGGGGTTACTGAGAGTGAAAGAAAATAAGAAAACTTTAAGAAGAGGAATTGGAAACCTAATCCTAAACAGGAAACAAGAGATAAAATCTGTTTTTTTATATTAGAAGTTATAAGCTATTTCATAATAATAAAAAGTGATAACATATCTTTCAGTATTAAGTCATAAAACACCACCTTCAAAGCAAAAATACTTACACATTTGTACCAAGTTTTTCCATGAGGTAAAATTCTTTCCTCAGCCATCTGCAAAAATACAGAAATTGACCGTTTAATTTTCTACCTCATTTAGTAAACACATTCCTGTGGTTTGACATATAAATCTGCTAATTTGGCCTTATTTTTTGTTACTGTAAATCCATTTATAGATTTATTTATCAGAAAGAATTTGATCCACAAGACAAACAAAAATGAATATAAAAAATATATACTTTATTACATTGCTGATATACTTATTTGATACATTCCCCACAGAAAATCAAGAAGTTGCAAACAAAACAGACAAAAAACAAACAAAACAAACAAAACACAAAACAAAAAGAAAAAAGACAAACAAAAAACACAAAACAAAAACAAAATACAAACCACAAAACACACAAAAAAACACACACACAAAAAAAACAAAACAAAACGTTGCTCCTCTATTACATTTTGAAGTAATGGAATCTTGATATGGAATTGTTGAGTACAAAAAGGAAACATTTTAGCATATTAGAAATGGAATTTTCACCTGTAGAATTTATATTCACATGGAATATAAATTTGTAAACTTCAATCTTGATTTTTCAATGATTTTCACAGAAAGTGCCTTCCTAATGTTCATGATTAGAGAAGTCATATAAACATAAAATTAAACATGATTTCTTAAAACAACTTAACTCTAAATTAACTTCTGTAAAAATATTAAAAAGCTATTTTTAAAAGATTAACATGTTTATGCTATATTACTTCACAATACTTGATTTAAAAAAAACTTATTTTTCAATTTTTTTTATATAAAGGGAGATTATATTGTATTGCTGCAAACTTAAATTTACATTGTAGGCAGGTCTATCTGATACATTTATCTTTATCTGATTTCAATGCCTCATCATAAGTCAATAGTATTAGTCTTCACTAGATGATCAACAAGAAATAATTAGCATCATTTTCATTGTGAAATCATATTTAAAAGATTCTGTTTACTTAAGTTATTATTGATTTGTTTCAATTTTACAGACATGCAGTAAAATCTAATAATTGGTTCTTTTAAACAAAATGACTGAAGAATATATAAATGAACTTTTGAGAAAAAAAAATCAAGAATTATATGAAACTGATTAAATGAAATGTAATTTCTTTTCATTGATCACATTTTTTTTTTAAACAATCCTATGGATATCCAAGATGAAAATTTATTGTTGGCAATCAACACTGTTTCAAAGTTCAATATTTCTAATTTCTTTTTACTTATTTACTTTTCAACTAAACAAAAATTATCTTCAGAAACATTAAAATGTTTTATTATTATTTCACTTCTGCAAAGCAGATGGTTACTGGTAAGAAGTTTACTTTTAATTAACTTCTTTTGACCTAAAATAAACCAGTTATTTGTTTATTTCATCGACAGGCTGTTTCCAATTATTTTAGTAATGGCTCCATTTCCAGTTCACAATCCAATACCTGCAAGGTTTTTTTTCCATATTTTTATTTACAACACCCAAATGCACCAATGATCACTTGTATCATAATTACTTTTTCTTAATAATAATAATAATAATAGTAATATTATTTTTATAATCTTAAATCAAATAGAAAGTATTTTATTATTGATAAAAATAAGGACAACTATTTCTCATTTTCTGTTGCCATCAAATGCAATTTCTAATCTTATATGATTAGACAAAATTGTTTTGACTTAATATTTTCAGATAATTACAATATGGAAGATATGATGATATACAAATATATCTATCTTGATCACTTCAATATATACATTGTCATTTCAATTACCCACTAGAATGAATAAAAAAAAAATACAGCATCATAAGAAAAAAATTACATCTTTCTGATGACCAATGCATCTTAAATTTATCAAACGATATTGTAGCAAAGAAAAACTAATACATACTAAAATGCTAAATTTTAGAAATTATTTATAAGAGATTATTTATGTGGGCCACAATTATTTTAAATTTAAATAATTAAAAAAAACTTTCATATGAACAAAATATCACAGCAAATGAAGTTAAAATAAAATAACCTGCTTTTATCTTAAATTCTGATACTGTTTTTTATCTGTTTTAAAGAGTAATTAATAATATAGAGACAATTTATTGCATTATGTCATAATATACAATTAACTAAGTGAAAATTATTGACAAAAAACCAAGTAAAATGTATGTCAGATTATTAAATGTTATTACAAATTAAGGACAACTCAAACAGATAAACAAAACAAGGAAAGAGAAAAGAAAAAAATCAGTTTATTTTTATATATAAAAACTAAACATTTTAATTCTCACTAAAAAAAACAGTTTTACCTTGAAAAACAAAATTAAAAGAAAAAGAAACCCTACTGAGGTCTTAACTATCATCACACATAGAACCGGTGAAGCGCTTAATAAACACATCTTAAGAGCAATCACCTTAGATAGCTTTTGACAAAGGTGTGAAATATGAAATTGCAACCCACTCACCAATTATGGAATCTCTAGGAGATTCTTTTCAGTTATCCTACCAAGTATGTCTACGAAGGTTGTCATTAATGACCAGTCCTCCGAGACCCAAAAGATCAATGTTGGCCTCCACCAAGACTCTTGATCCAAGCCTCTTTCTGCTTTACATTAACAATCTGCTTTAGAACCCTATCTGACCCTTAGTGTGTGTGTGTATATATATATATATATATATATATATATATATATATATATATAAAATAAAAAAAAGAAAAGAACAGTAAGATATATAATCTGGTGTTCTTATTGATATTTTTATTTTTATAAAACAATGCTCAATGTAAATTTACAGAGCATAAATATTATAAATTAACTAGTTTAAAATGTTTTTTTTTCGCTACACTGTAATAAGCAGATTTCTAAAATGGAAGCTAAAAACTTCAAATTTAATTTTGTAATTAAATTAAAAACATTAGTTCCATTTCATCTTCAAGCGAATATTGGAGTAACTTATTTTTTAAATTTACTGAATTTTTAAACACACACAAAAATTCATAATTCACTGTTTCCAAGGATACAGAGAAATCCAATAATTCAGACAAGGGGTGGTAGCGTGTTCATTTTTATTAACTTTTGTTGTATCAGTTATTAGTTACTTTGTGGAACAGACTCCTAAGATGATGCTCCCCTGACCACTACACTCTTAATCTCTTAAAATCCAAAGTCAACAGATACCAATCTTTCATATCGTCATAATATACACCTCTTATTTCTTCATTTCTTACAACAATCTCAATCAGTAACACTCTACCTTGAGTGGACTGTGGACCTTGTATTAGGTAATTAAAGTAAAAATAAATAAATAATTTTTTTTTTTTTAAATTTTCAGGAAAACATTTCTATAAATACAATTTTCAGGAAAATAGGTTTCTCATGTCCAAATACTATGGATTAGATTAAAGAGAACATGACAAAGCAGCTGATGGTGATCCCAAAAAAGAAATTGCAGACTGTTTTAGAAAATGACAGTGATGCTGGGATACATTAATATGTTTGAGGAAATAATATCATTGTTTTGGGTTGATTATTTTTCTGTTAATATTAAATGCATGGATACTTTAAGAACAGACCTTGTATATATATATATATATATATTTACAGCAAAAAAACAAAAATTATCTCAACATAGGGATAGTCTATTTCAAACTATTTCATAGTTTAATAAAAACATTAAGATTCTCTGTGGATCAGTTTAATAATATTACTAGGATCCACCTGGATTATATACCAACAGATCGACACCTGTATATATATATATATATATATATATATATATATATATATATATATATATATATATATATATATGTATAAAAGGGTACTTCCCATAAGAGATGTTCATCATAATATTATATTCCAAACAAAATCCAGTTAGACTGAGAGAAGAAAAATTGAATATAATCAATAATTACAGTTAAAGATAATCAAAGATAAGGATTCTCATATTTTTCTGTTATAATAATGCATAAATAATGAGGAAGTTTAAAGGAAAATAGAAATAAAAAGGACATTTGCACACTTAGAAAAAAAAAAGTTTCAATTTCTGGGACATATAATTTGGAAAGAGGGCTTGGATATCGAAAACAAGATGAACAAAGGAAAGCAGTAAATCACCTACAAGCTTGCGTGAATGGGTTTTAGAATAGAAACTGTGAAAAAGAAAAGGCAAACCTTACACAGAGTTGTGGAGAGCTATGATCACCGTTTAGCAAAATTGGCTTGGGAATGGAGCTTGGAGGAATAGTAAAGGAACATTGTTTAGAGCTACAAAGAATAGGAAATTGTGGATAGCAGCAATCACCCATATTGTGGCTGATAGAATGCAGAAATATTTTAAAATGAATAAATCAGACTGCAAATATTCAAGTAAATTAAACACAAAATAAAAGACAAAAAATGAGAAAAGGACAAATATAAAAAAAAAATCAGGGCTTGCAATTATCCCATATCCCCACTTTTAAAAGGACCTTTTTATTGACATTTCTTAAAAATTGTAAACAATGGCTGATGACCAACAAAAAAAAAAAAAATAGGAGAAGCAGATTTGTTATGACTTCATTTCAATTTAGTGCCATGCTCATGGTTTTGTTTAAGAACTTTATATTTGAGGGATACTGAAAAGTTATCTGCCAGATCCTTTGAGAAAAAAAAATTCTGTTTGTTCATTTGGTCAGCTTTTAGGAAGTAGGTCAGGTCAAGAACTTTTCAGCACCCTATCTGTATATTATTGAATGTCACTTAGTCTAAGAAGATACTACAATGTGTTATTATTAGACACCTCATTATGTCAGTAGGTCAAAATCTATTAACCTACCAACCCCCTCCCTGTACTATATAAGAGGAAGTAGCAGTCTAGTGCTATGGTGGCAATCTGCCTGGGCAGCCTGCAGTAAAGTACATCAAAGTAGCCAAACAAAACAAGTCAGTTTGCCAATCCCTTATTTAATTTCAACTACAGTTTAAATGCAATGGACTGTCCTTTTAAACTGTGTTCAAAAGACAGACACAATGGGGGGGGGGTTAGCAGCT